CTAGTGCTTAGGAATGTGCTTTATATTCCTTTGTTTGGGTTCAATCTCATCTCTGTCAGTAGGTTAACCAAAGACACAGCATGTTCTTTGACATTTTTTCATAATCACTGCATTATCCAGGATCTGGTCTCCCGCAAGCTGATTGGTACAGCTAGAGAGTCTGGTGGGCTTTATTGCTTCACACCTACCTTCAACAGCTCTCTTCCTGCCCCAATCACTGCTTCTCAACCAGAATCCAGTTGTTTGTCTGTTGTCTTTGATACTACTATTCATGACATTGACATTAGCCACTATAGACTTGGACATGCTTCTTGTAATCCTTCGAACACTATTATGTCTAAAAATTCTAGTATTACTTCAGATAAAACCAAACATTGTATTGTTTGCCCACTGGCCAAACAGAAACGTTTGCCATTTATGGTAAGTACCTCTCACGCCCTTGCTCTGTTTGATTTGCTTCACGTTGATATATGGGGTCCATATGGGGTTACTTCTGTGGATGGTTATCGTTATTTTTTAACAATTGTAGATGATTTCTCTCGCAATACTTGGGTTTATTTGATGCGTAAGAAGTCTGAAGCTCGTGATTTATTAGTGTTTTTTATTAACCACATTCAGACACAATACAATCTTAAGCCTAAAACTATTAGATCAGATAATGGACTTGAGTTTTCGATGCCTGCATTCTATAGTTCCTTAGGTATAGTACATCAGACTACTTGTGTTGCCTCTTCACAACAAAATGGTCGGGTGGAGCGCAAGCAACAGCACATCATTGCTGTTGCTCGTGCCCTATTGTTTCAGTCTTTTCTTCCCTCTAAATTCTGGAGTCATGCTGTCTTACATGCCACATTTCTCATTAATAGACTTCCTAGTCCAGTTTTAGATAACAAATCCCCATATGAGTTATTACATCATTCTGTTCCAGATTACTCTATTTTTCGTGTGTTTGGTTGTCTGGTATACATGTCAACTTTGGCTCACAATAGACCTAAATTTGAACCTAGGGCTCAACCTTGTGTTTTCTTAGGTTTCCCATTTGCTACTAAAGGTTGTAAGTTATACAACTTAGTCACAAAGTCTATCTGTGAATCTCGTGATGTGGTGTTTCATGAAACCATCTTTCCCTTCTTCTCAAAGGAGTTCTCACATGTGTCTTCTGAGTTTGTTTTTCCAGTCATTTCAGTTTCATCAATGGATGACATTGCACCTTCTGGTGTTAGTGTTATTCCCGATGCACCTACTGGTTCAGCACCCGACCTACATTCCACCTCTAGTTCATCCACCTCCTCTGATTCACCAGATGACAATGATGGGGTAGCTCCTCCTGAGTATCCTCCATCATTTGATGATGAGCCAGCTTGTTTACCTCCTCGGAAGAGGAAACCACCTCTTAAGTTTCGTGATTATGTGTGCAATTCTGTGTTCAATTCAGCTGTTTATCATCCTTTATCTCATGTTTTATCAACTAACAGACTTGCTAATCACCATTCAAAGTTTGTTTTAGCTGTATCTTCTGTAGAAGTACCTACAAGTTACAAGGAGGCTTCCAAACATGACAAATGGAATGCTGCCATGGATTTGGAGATCGATGCTCTCCTTCGGACCAATACATTCACGGTGGTGCCTAAGCCGCCAGATGTTAAACCCATTGGCAACAAATGGGTTTACAAGGTAAAGTTTCATTCTGATGGTACAGTCGAGCGAGAAAAAGCTCGACTTGTTGCCAAAGGATATACTCAAACTCCGGGCATAGATTACTTAGATACATTTTCTCCTGTAGCTAAGTTATCTACTGTTCGTTCTTTGCTTGCCTTAGCCTCCATAAAGGGTTGGCATTTACATCAGCTAGATGTAAATAACGCCTTCCTTCATGGAGATTTAGTTGAAGATGTCTATATGAAATTACCCTTAGGTCTTAAGATACCTGGTGACACATCTAATTTGGTTTGCAAGTTAAACAAATCACTCTATGGCCTTAAACAAGCCAGTAGACAATGGAATCATAAACTTACAGAATTTCTATTACAGTCTGGTTACACACAATCCAAAGCTGATTATTCTTTGTTTACTAAACGACATGATGGTTTGTTTCTTGCTGTTTTGGTTTACGTTGATGATATCATCCTAGCTGGTGATTATCTAAGTGAAATAGAGTCTCTTAAACAGAAATTAGATGATGCCTTTAAAATCAAGGATCTTGGTAATCTTAAATATTTTTTAGGCCTTGAAATTGCTCGAAATGAATCTGGTATATCAATCTGCCAACGCAAGTATGTGCTTGATTTATTGAATGATTCTGGTTTGCTTGGTGCTAAACCTGTGCCTACTCCTTGTAATCCTGGTGTTAGGCTTTCCATTAAGACTGGTATTCCTTTGGAAGATTCTTCTATTTACAGAAGATTAGTTGGTCGTTTGTTATACTTATGCAATACACGCCCTGATATTGCCTTTGCTGTCCATCAATTGACTCAGTTTATGAGTGCCCCGACTGATGTACATATGGCAGCAGCTCATAGAGTCTTACATTATCTGAAAGGTTCACCTGGTCGTGGCTTATTTTTCCCTTCCAAAACTGATCTAACACTTAAAGCTTTTTCTGATAGTGACTGGGCAGCTTGTCCCGATTCCAGAAGATCGACAACAGGGTTCTGTGTTTTTCTTGGTGGTTCCCTGATTTCTTGGCGTTCAAAGAAGCAACAGACCATCTCTCGATCATCAACCGAGGCTGAGTATCGAGCCATGGCTGATCTTACTTGTGAAATCCAGTGGTTAAACTATTTGTTTACAGATTTAGGAGTTTCATTTGCTAAGCCTACTGCTATGTTTTCTGACAGCCAATCTGCTATTCGAATAGCTGAGAACCCTGTTGCTCATGAGCGTACTAAGCACATAGAGTTAGATTGTCACTTAACTAGAGATAAACTTGCTGCTGGTTTGATTAAACTCTTACATGTTTCGACTTCTGACCAGATTGCTGATTTGTTTACAAAATCTTTGCCTACTGCTGTGTTTTCAGGTCTTGTGTCCAAACTGGGCACTCTTGACATACATGCTCCAGCTTGAGGGAGGGTGTTAGTGTATAGAGTAGATATAGGACAAATATGTAATGTTTGTTTATTTTATGTACTGTTTTGTAATTAGGTAGAATAGAACTGATATAAATGTAAAGTTGAACAGTGTATTATTTACTTTTGGTGAAATAAAATACGATCGTTTCTCTCTCATAACAGGTGCAGCAGTAGCTTACACAACTGCTGCAGTGGCAGAATTGATGGTGGTCGTTGCTGCTAGTGATGACATTGAAGCTAGGGCTAGCTAACTCCTAACCGGAGGCAGGTTTCAATGAGGCAGAGATCGTCGGAGCTAGGGCTAGCTCCTCGGCTGATGGATGCGCGGTGACGAACAGATTAGTAACAGTGGTGGTGGATTTAACTAGGGTTGGCCCCTCCGTTGGCGCAGGAAGAGACAGCTCAGCTTTGGTCGTGGAATTGTCGTTGGTCCATGGTGGAACGTCCGAGCATGGTTCAAGCAGCACACGGACAGCAGAATCGAAACCATCGAGGTTCGTGCTCGTCCTGACGGCTGCCAGAGTCGCCATATTACCTAGCCTAGCTGCTCCCAACAATAGAGATACTCTGATCTTATTAACGGGGCTCTGGTACCAACTGTTACGGTGATGTGGTATGTCGGATGACGTTTTTAGTATTTTTCTTAAAAATGAATAAAACGCAAAGAACTCTTAAATTAAATAACTAAAAAAATAGCAAATAAAAAAATGAATTAAATTAGAGAATAGATACATATTTATAGGCACAGAAACCTCTCATTTTTCTACGTAACTAAAACAGGACTACTTCTCACATAATTAAGAAAACAATAACAAATCTTAAACCAATAATAAAAACACACCCAATCCTCCCCAAATACTAATAATATTAATTGATGTTGAAATTAAATACCCAAACCCAATTTAAATACGAAAGAAAAAAAATACCCAAACCCAATATATTACGAAAATTCTACGATGACTCGATTTCGTAACACTAAGGGGTGCCATGGAACCCCTCCTTATTAGCCTTTGCTCCGCCCCTGATCAGCACTAGTGCCGTCAATATATATCTGGCTGGTTTCACTACCATCGTACTGCTGTTACCCTGCCTCCCTCCTAGGGATGGCAATCAAACCCATGGTCGTGGGTACCCGACCGTCCCGACCCAGTCAACGCGGGTAATCCCCGCTTTGATCGGGTATGGGGCGGGTATGGGTAAAACCCGCAAAAAGTTTGATGGGTATGGGGCGGGTATGGTTTTAGCCTCCCCTGCCCCATACCCATACCCATATCCGCCCCACCAAGAGAATTTCTTCACATATACAAAAATATGTGGATCAAATTGTAATCTATCAATGATGATGAGGATAACTCGAGGAAATAAATAGTAGAAATGCAATTGAGTGACCACCTTAATCAAAACCTAATTCATTTTCATCAATTCTCCTTCGCTCCTTCACTTTCACCCTTGTCAACAAGATTATGTTAGTTAATTATTTCTTAGTATATGTATCAGAGTTGGAACATAATAATTTGAAAAATATTATACTCTATATTATGTATTAACGAATGTTTTAGGATCATATTATTTGAACCGTATTAAGAAAATGATCGTGTTTTGTTGAATTCGTGATATAATAGGTACGTTTAGAGTTGTAGTTAAAACTTTTCTTGTAAATTTTAGGATAATAATGTTGGATATACGGGTACGGGTATTACCCACGGGTATCCGAAACCCACGGGTATGAGGATGAGTTTGCCAAACATTCCCCGCTTGAGTATGGGGCGGATATAGATTTAAATATTTGAAGATGGGGATGGGGATGGTTTAGACAAACCCGCCCCATTGCCATTCCTACTCCCTCCTCTTCCTCCGGTGCTCCAAATCACTTTTAGAAAACTAAAGATATAGTGGAGCTTACACCAGACAACACGTAACACTTTATTTCAGGCATAGACAATACTATAGGGAAAGAAACACGTACAGGAAATCAATCGAAATGAAACACATACAGAAATTGAACAACAACGATCAAATCAAAAAGACCAACACAAAAACAAAAGACGGTCTACGCACAAGAGCTACTAGCATCGAGTCGACCGTCTTACTTATTATCCATCGCATATCGCATGGTCGATCGACAATGAAAGATATATAGCCGTCGTCTCTCCTTTTCATGGGCGATTGCCACGTCCCCTCCTGAGGTAGTCGTCCAAATCCTGAAACGCAGTCTGCATCACGTTCTTGAGGTTGTTAACGTCGGCGTTACCCTTAGCGCTGTCGTAGGTGAAGGACCAAGTAATCGTGCAGCCTGTGGCCCTAAGGTTGGCGCGGGAGGAAGGCACCACGGCCGTCGTGATGTCGACGCTGTCGAAGAGCCGCGGCACGAATGCTCCGTCGTCATTCATCGTCGTCTTCACCGTCATGTTGGAATGGTCAACTTCAAGGATCTCTTCCCTCCCCGATCCCACCACCCTGCTGTAAGCTGCATGGGGCCGGCGATTACGTACGTACACCAAATTAAATCGAGCAAAAGAAAAAGATATTCGGAACCTGAATTGACTGATCTTTCGGACATGATACTATAATCTAACGTTTAAAGATCAAAATCTAGGTCTTAATTCTCTAAATTTTATTCTCCAAGATTAATTTAATTAGAAACAATAATCGACGGTTATGATTTGTCCAAATATAGACAAAAAAAAAATCAATGCACCATCTTAGGGTTTATAGTTTAGATTTAGATAATTAGGATCTAGAGTTCACTCGTTAAGGGTTAGGGTATAGTATTATGCCCAAAAATCCTGTTAATTCGAGTTCTAAATAGCATTTTCATACTCAGGATATGCGGTACCCCGAATTTCACCTGGGACACCATATATATATATATTAACTAAGGTTTAATTACCAGGACCGAAAGTGATGTCGCGGATAGAGCCTTCGGTGAAGCCGTCGCGGCGGTTGCGCTTGATGCCGGCGTAGAGGTTGGGCATCGCCATCGGGAAAACAGCTGTGGCGGCGGTGACGGCGCTCCATACGTCGCTGGCGGAGGAGAACATCCTGAATGTCACGGTCTCGGTAACTAGAGGCATTTTTGTTTTTTTCCTTTTTTTTTTTTTCAGGCAAAAAAGCTAGAGGCAAGAGATTATGGAGTAGAGAGGGATTATAGGGATGGCAACAAAACCCGAACCCACGGGTACCCACCCGACCCAACCCGGCCAACGCGGGTAAAACCCGTGTTGACGGGTTATGGGCCGGGTTCGGGTTTAAACCCGCTACACTATTCACCGGGTCGGGTTGGGTTTGGGTTTAGGTAAACCCGCCCCATGGGTACCCGCCCACACACATATAATTACTTTCCCGGTATATTTAATATTCTAAATAATATATATTCCTTAAACAACTAATATTCTTTATGTTTGTGGAGACATGTATAATTTGTTCTTTCTAATTGTTTAGAATGAAGTTGATATTATGAAGTAGAGAGTGAAGATACTTAGTTGACGAGGAAGAAGCTTTCAATTAATCTTATTGTTTATAGATGTTTATCTTTAATTTTGAACAATTTGTATTGATCATTTGCGGTTTGCTTGTATGCTCTAGGTTGGTGTTTTTTGTATGAATAATTTGTATGAGAAAATTGATGTTAAACTTTTATTTTGAAAGAAACTTGTTATTGTAAATTTTTTACCACAAAAACCCACGGGTACCCATGAACCCGCGGATACCCAGCGGGTTGGGTTGGGTTTGATTTTTTCAAACCCAGCGGGTTTTACCCCGGGTTTTTTTGGCGGATAAACCCGTGGGTTTGGGTTTGGGTTTGACAAAACCCGCCCCAACCCGACCCATTGCCATCCCTAACTAGGGATGGCAACAAAACCCGATCCCACGGGTACCCACCCGACCCAACCCGGTTAACGCGGGTAAAACCCGTGTTGACGGGTTTTGGGCCGGGTTTGGGTTTAAACCCGCTACACTATTCACCGGGTCGGGTTGGGTTTGGGTTTAGGTAAACCCGCCCCATGGATACCCGCCCACACACATATAATTACTTTCTCGGTATATTTAATATTCTAAATAATATATCTTCCTTGAACAACTAATATTCTTTATGTTTGTGGAGACATGTATAATTTGTTCTTTCTAATTGTTTAGAATGAAGTTGATATTATGAAGTGGAGAGTGAAGAAACTTAGTTGACGAGGAAGAAGTTTTCAATTAATCTTATTGTTTATAGATGTTTATCTTTAATTTTGAACAATTTGTATTGATCATTTGCGGTTTGCTTGTATGCTCTAGATTGGTGTTTTTTGTATGAATAATTTGTATGAGAAAATTGATGTTAAACTTTTATTTTGAAAGAAACTTGTTATTGTAAATTTTTTACCACAAAAACCCACGGGTACCCATGAACCCGCGGATACCCAGCGGGTTGGGTTGGGTTTGAGCTTTTCAAACCCAGTGGATTTTACCCCGGGTTTTTTTGGCGGATAAACCCATGGGTTTGGGTTTGGGTTTGACAAAACCCGCCCCAACCCGACCCATTGCCATCCCTATGCATCACCTTCGATCCCCCCACACAGATTACCAGACACATATCAAATCTTGTGGGCACAGGATGAGGGTTCACCAAACCAACATCCACCGCAATGTATCTGAACTCTCAACCAAGGCCTAATAGTACCACTTGCTGAGACCAAATGCTTTATCAGCACGATATTGTCCGCTTTGGCCAAGCCCGCACAAATTTACTTTTTGGGTTCCTTCCCAAAACACCTTGTACTAATGTAATTTGGTGGACACTAACTCGTTCCTACTGTGACTACTATCCCAACAGTGGCCAAGTGCAACCACAATCAGGTGCATAATGGTGGAAGTGAAGTTTAATGATCAACCCGGGCGACAATTGTACTATTACTTCACGGACTACATTGTTATCTAGTAAAAACGATATTTTGGGCCATGATATATGCTCCAAGATGCCCAAATTAGTACGATATATGGAAAATAGAGAGAGGTATGTAGAGTGAGATTTTAGAGAGAGAACCATAATAGTGAATGGAGGAAAGGAAGCGGATCCTTGGTTTGGAGGCACGGGTCTTCTTATATAGGAATTTGGGGCCTCTTTGAGTGAGATTGGGCACGGGACGCATTACGGTGGGTTTCGGTCCATTGAGGGTGTAGTCTTTTGTCGTATTACGCGAATTAATACCACACCCAACAGATAAGATGCCTCGCCCTTGGCTTTTACCCACACTTTATTTGCAGTGGCATCTTTTAGTGATGTAAACTGTACGTGGTAGGATATCGAGAAGCTACATATCGACCACAATTTTGCTTTTAAGCGCTGAAGACTCCTTCCTTTGAGGAGGAGTTCGAGAACTCGAAAGGAATGGTAGGAACTAGGAAGCAAAAATTCATATGTTTTTCTTTTAAGACGGATCCAAAATTCATGACAAGGACATAACCTCTACACTAGCCTCCCTTACATCACGTGTTTACGCGGAGACTAGCAATTCAAAAGTATGACGAACTTTGAATTTGCTTTGGGTGTGTGGCATTACTCCAGATTTTTGAATTTTATGCGCAAATACACACACACAACTTCTTCTCTACACACATAATACACATGTGACTGCATTTGGAGGGTCATCCATCATCCTCACAAGCTGCCTCATGGGTGTGATTCAACCCGTGAAAATTAAGGATGAACTCCCAAATTGACGATTTGAGAATTAAAATTGTCGAGTGATTCACGGCTAAAGCCACAGCTAGGAACCAATCCATAGGTGTGAAAAGGTAGTGACCTGCGGCAAAATTTCTTCGACTAAGTAACGAAGGCGCTTAGAATTGGAAGTTGAAACCGGTGTTGGCCAAGACATCCACGCATGCTTGAAATGTGCCACGTCACAAGTAGAAGGCTCTCAACCTCGATCCATGGACACACACAAATCATCATCCACACCACCAAGGAGTCATTCTCCTCTACGTGTACCCTTCCCAACTTCATTTCGGTGTAGACCAATAAGTGCATACACGAAAGCTATTATGAGGTAAGCATAAGAGCCAAACCGTCACGAGTGCACGTCGAATAGACATATGACGCACAAAGGTCAAATTGCAAGCAAATACGTGGTACCGCTCATGCATCCACAAGGATTTGAAGTAAGATTATTAGTAGGGGAATAAGAACACGAGGTGGGTGGTGTGGGTTAGGGATGACAACAAACCCCGAACCCACGAGTACCCTACCCGACCCAACTCGATCAACACGGGTAAAACTCATGTTGACGGGTTTCGTGTCGGGTTCGGGTTGAAACTCGTTACACTTTCATCGGGTTGGGTTTGGATTTAGGGATACTCGACCCATGGATACCCGCCCACACTTATTCCGTCGCTTACTCTCTCCAAACCCTACCCTAATTCTAATTTCCCCCAATCTAATTTACAATTTGTATGGATAATTTGTGATTTGTTTGAATTTTCTAGAATGGTATTTTATGTATGGATAATTTGTATGGAAAAACTAATGTTTGACTTTTATTTTGATAGAAACTTGTTATTGTAAATTTTTTACCACAAAAACCCATGGGTTCCCATGAACCCTTGGATACCCAGCAGGTTGGGTTGGGTTTGAGTTTTCCAAGCCCATTGGGTTATACCTGGGTTTTTTTATGGATAAACCAATGGGTTTGGATTTGGGTTTGGCAAAACCCGACCCCTTGCATCCCTAGTGTGGGTGAAAATCCGACGATGGCGGTGGAGTAAGCAAACGAAGGTTTTGCAATAGTCGACATAGGACAACCCTTAGGCACTCATTCATGGTCAAAGATGACGATAGAATGGGGAACTATTGTCGTAAAACCTTTCTGCTCATTGAGGTTCATCTTTATGACAATAGTTCATTGCCCAAATATTGGCCTAATGTTGTTTAAGATAGGAGGGTGTAATTTTACGACAAGACCACTTCCACACTAAAAGTGATGCAACCACTTGTTTGTTTGAAGTCCAATTTTGTAGATTATGGGGTTTAGGATTACCTTTACATGGAGAAGTAGTTAATGGTTCCATCTTCTCGTCATTCCATGATGCGTGGGACTAGGAACGACCCATAAAGGTAGGGTCGACCAACTTTATTTGTGATATTGTCAATAATCGAAGACCGAGTATGCAAAATGGTTGATCTTGACCGTCTACCATATTTGGAAAATAGGACAGAAAGAAGCCAGTATGGACTTCCCAAAGTCGGCGGACCTGGTGCCGAAATGACTCCTAGGCCACGATTTTTTTGCCTTTTTATAATAACATCGGTGCTCGAATATTCATTTAAGTATGGATAAGCCCATTGAAAAAAAGTTCACCAAAAACTTTTATTCAAGTTGATCAAACCATCTTACAGAAGGTTCAAATGCAACAATAGGAAACCCGGGTTATCGCTCGCTAGTACTTTGGTTTAACGGCTTTAAGTTAGATGTCATACATAGGCTGAGTGCTCTCTCTTTAATGCCTTTGAGCCAGACGACCTGCTTGGTTTAAGAGAGCCAATCGTCACCCCATTCTTCCTTCTCATCCTCATGCTTCTAGAAGAACTCGTGAGGGGAAGCATGGAATGTTGCTTCCACACTTGCCGAGATCCTATGATCTAGGTCGTGATCCCCCTTTATTTTGACTAGTATGATGTCCTGGTTCTGGGCTGTCTAGAAGAAGGCTTCATGCAGTCATGTCATACCAGGTGGAGAGGGATTGTATAAGGTCGAGGATTTAATGGATACTGCATCTTTGCCACCCAAGGTGGTGACGTCGTCCTCTTCAAGCTCTGAATCTCTGCCAAAGAACATCCAGTTATTATCCAGAGCTCATGAGATCAAAATGTGATGTTCCAGCTCTCATACTTGCAAAGTGATCATTTCTCTCTAGCATGTCAATGACAAGTCTTGCTGCCTCGAGGAAAGTGAAACCTAAGAGTGCTCCATTCCTTTGGTGTCGCTGCATTTCAATTATCACGAAGTCGCAGTCGAAGATCAAGGGTGACCTCGACATCTCGACGTGTTGCAACACCCCATTTCTTTCACGTATGGACCTGTCCACCAATTCAAGGTCTAGAGGCTCGCCTTCTATCTCCCCCACCCCCCATTGCCATATATGTAGCAATCGGTATAACATTAGTGCTAGATCTAGTATAAAAAACACAATTGGTATGTAATATCCATTTATGTTACACGAAATGCTTAACCTTCCCAGGTCAGACTCCTTTAAGGTGGAGTTTATGAGTAGGTCTGGTGGTACGTCCATGGAGGTGAGATCTCGTGATGTAGGGTCAGGGGGATTTTCGTGACGATTAGACTCCTTAATGCCTGAACATGTTTTGGCATTTTAAGATTTCTGCATGTAGGGGTAGAATAGTTTCCTCGCCACCCAGGCTTGCGATAATTTTCAGGCAGGAGTTCGGAAATTTTGATTTCACATCATTATGTCCTTCTTTAAAAATGGTGCATGGGGCCTCGTTTTTTTCTGGGAAATTATGTCATCCGGGCTACCGACTTTTTTCGAGTCGATTCAGACTTCCTGGTTCGTCCATGACTGCGATTATGATTAGTATTTCAATAAAAAAACTATCGTAGTAGTTAGCATGGTGCTACTCTTTTAAGGGATTAGCACCTACAGGCTACAGTTAGGGTGGATATTTGGTTGCAATTTTACGGTTAAATCACTAATCACATCGAAACCGCATGGTAAATGGTTAACCACAAACCAAAATATACGCTTTTTGCGGTCGCGGTTAGCAATATAGCATGTTTTATGATTTGTGGTTTAAGCGCAACCGCAACCGAATAAGAGGTAATCACAGTTTAATCGATTACTAACGCGGTTACCTGTGGTTAACCGCGATTAACACGATTACGGTGACATAATGACACATCCACACACCAAAATGTCCCCAAACCATAAGAATAGTTAGTAACGTGGTTAACTGTGGTTAACCGCTAACCACACTTTGCGGTTAATGGTTAACCGCTAACCATTTGTCGTGTGGTCGCGATTGGCATATATGGCCTCGTTTCCCATCCCTAGCTACAGTGGTGGAACCAACCCTCGCTATAATGGTTAACCGCACCGTTTCTTAACCCTACTACAGTGGCGGAGCCAGCCTGGTTAGGCTCTGTCACGTAGGGATGGCAATTTACCCACCCATGGGTAATTTTGCCCAAACCCAAGTAGACCCATTTATTATGGGTAGGGTTTGGGTGATGTGTGTATGGGTTTGGGGTTTGTATATGGGTTTGGGTTAGATATGGATATTATCTAAATGGGTATGGGTTGCATATGGATATCCATTTACTTGAGGGTGTTTTAACTACACATGCAAAAATTGGACTTATTTGTAAAACTTGAAAAGTTTAGGTACCAAAATTTAGGTACCAAAACGTAATTTTCCATCGATATTTTGAGGACTTATATGCAAAAAAAAATTAAATTTAGGTACTAAATATGCATATCTATTAAGTTTAGGTACCAAACTGTAATTTGTATTTGGGCATGGGTACAAACCCAAATCCATTTGTTATAAACCCAACCCAACCCAAAGTAAATGGGTATGGGTACAAACCCATCAAACTTTACCCATATCCATATATTTGGTTTTCATACCCAACCCAATTGGGTTGGATAGTAAAATACCCATGGGTATGGGCAAAATTGTCATCCCTATTGTCACGAGACACACCCAAAATTTGTGAAAATAATTAATTAAACACATATAAACCCTAACCCTTAATGGGTGAACTCTAGGTCCTAATTATCTAAATTATAAACTATTAACTCTAAGATGGTGCATTCATTTTTTTGCAAATATTTGGATAAATCATAACCGTCGATTATTTTTTCTAATTAAATTGATCTTGGGGTATAAGATTTAGAGAATTAAGACCTACATTTTTTTATCTTTAAGGGTTAGAGTATAGTATCATGTCCGAAAGATCAGTCAATTCAAGGTCTAGATAGCATTTTCATACTCAAGGTAAAAGAAATTTAATAAGATATTATTACTTAAAAATATAGGTGATGAATGTATTTTTACTATTCTTTCCATATATAAAAATACTTCATGGTTGTTTATACAAAAAATAACTCATATTAATAAATAAATTACATGAATAGTAATTTTTTAAATATATTTTTTCGTATATTTATATTATGTAAAACGGCACACCTGTTTTGAGCTTCTGGTTCCGCAACTGAGCATCTAATCCCATTCCATCACAGTGCATGTCTAGGTGCAGTATAGTAAATTTTTTGTTGCCTTGCAGTAAGCATCCGAATTTGACAAATAGGATTGTTCAAAAAAACAAATTGACAATAGGCAGATGAGTCAAAAATTATCTGTTTTGTTCAAAAAAACATTTTCTCTACACTTTTTTCAGGTTCTGCGAACATACTTAACATAATCACTTCCTTTCAATGGAAGCTGTTTAACAGGATATTAGGCTGTGGTCTCATGCTAATATTCTTTCATTGTCTTGATTGCAGTCTGTCGCTACACTTGGGGCCTATGATATTACTCTGAGCTGGGAGAAAAGGTGATGTATCAGAAGTGTTTATTCTATGGTTGATATCAATAAGAACCAGGTTGCATTACTTTTCTGCCTTTTCTGCGTGCACAAATCTTCTGGAATTTTTACGGATTGATTTCCCTAAATATGGAAGTCATGTTTTAGGTGAAGTCACCAGGATTGATTTAACTCTACACCTGATGAACCAGGCTGCAGACCACGTTGGGCGGTACATTGTGACCATGATGAGCAACGGTGTAAGGATGCTGAGACGGTATTTGAGTTCTGTTTGGATGAAGCTAGAAGGATGGATCAGTTGGTGCTTCTTAGGCTGAAGGTTGTTTTTCAAGCTGCTCGTGAACAACCCAAAGAAGCAATAGAGACATACAGATTGTTGTTCTGGCTAATTCAGGTTCAGCGTGATCTGTATGTACTCTTTTTCCAACAGTACGTTTGATTTCCATGTAAAACTAGGGTTCAATGTTAACTGTAGGATGCATTTTTACATTTTCAGGGAAGTGCAGAGCGGAACTTAGAGCTGGTACCATGTAGATTTCTATGCGAGAGGCTGCTTAGAACTGGTGGTGAGGCTACCGATCTGTGACTTTGCTGCTACTGTGTTTATGTTCTGCTTCCTGTGTAGATGTGATGATGATCTCAATTTCATGTCCAAGTTTGGGATTCTTAAACTAATGGCCTTTTTTTGGTTATAAAGGTGGGAATACATTGACTTCATGTTGGACAGTTCCCTCCTTTGCTTTCGCGAATCAGATTGTGACGCTGCAGAAATTAGGAGCAGCAGTATGTATAAAGTGCTGCAGAGCTTGATGTTTTCCTGATCTGATGTTTAAATACTGGGTTAAATAGAATGTGATTATTTTTCCTTTTTACTGACTCCAAAATGTTTTTTCTTTAGGAATTGCTAGGGGGTGGCAAAGTAACTAGGGAGCATAGTCTTGTTAACGGTGGCAGTACGGTTACTGCATTTTTCCTATCCTTTTGTTTCTTTCAGTTCTTATGAGAAATCTATGTTTCCTTTACCTGCAGGACATTCTGGACACTCAAGAAGCACATTATGAATAGCTAGTTGCTGTACTTGGTATTTGCAGGACATGTGGACATTCAAGAAGAAGCACATTATTGATAGATAGTTGCTGTATTTGGTATTTGAATGATGACTGAAAACTATGCTCATTTTTCCCTCCTCCAGTTAAATAACTATGACATTTCATGCATGTGATATCCTTAATTGTTCAACTTGTTTCAAAAGATTATGAGGGACAAGTGAGTGATTCCTGATGGAATTGAGTTCCTGTTCAATGACTCCGCTCTGGATTTAGGCTTCATTTCTTCCTTTTTTCTGGTTCCCATTCTACAGTTTTTAAAAGCTTTGAACAGCTTCAAAACAAGAGGATCCCATCCCACTTTTCGTGTTGGATTGGGTCAGGTTTGTGTCATAACTCTTGTTTCATTCATTATTTCTTACAAGAGATGAGTAATGCTTCATAACATGTACCAGCAAATGTTTCGATAACATGAAGTTTCAGTATAAACTTAAATTAATCGACCAAAATGTCATTACCAACATTAAGCAGACAATCACGACAGCTAGCGGGTCTCCATGTCTGGCATCTTCTCGAGATAAGCATCTAAATCATCGAAGCTCATCTTGACAAACCTTTTCAAGGCTTCCCTGTCAAAACCCCTTGGATTTGTACCATGGTAGCTCCAGTTCACTGTGCTTCCCCTGCGTTTGGGACGCTTCTTCGGAGTAACCGCCACAGTGACCTTGAAAGTGTCATAGTAATTCAGCATTCCACCTTGTATAACCGACCATGTCACCGTCTTCTTCTCATGATCTGCATAAACTATCTGCTCCTCCGACTTCTGCCACGGAGTCTGCTTGCCTGCAAAGCCAGCACAAAAAAACACAAAACTGAAAAGAAAACCCAACTGACAATGGTGGAATTCAAAGAATGAAGTCATGTTGCGTTCTAGTAGTTCATTCAGATTTGACGACCGTATGTCTGAGATTGGCATTGCTTAGATAAAATCATAAAATGACTGCACACTTTACCTCGAGCAAAAGTGATTTCACGAACAGAGCCTTCGCTGAACCCATCACCACTAACTACGGTAATCGCAGTGTACAAATCAGGGAGGGCTTTCGGGAGTATGTCTGTGGAGGCAAAGATAGCTCCCCAGAAATCATTTGCAGATGACACAACTGTGAACTCCACTTGGTCACTGCAACCAGGCAAGGAGAGACACATAAAGGGGATCTATATGATTGAAAAATTGAAATGAAACTGATGGGAAGATTCTAAGTCTAAATAGTGAGAAACAAAAAAAAACAATTCTTAGTATGCAAAAAGCATTCCAAGCATTTACCTTTCCTCCTTTGGCACTTCACGCTTGTGGTCTGCTAAGTTGTTGTAAAAGCTGCTGAGATCGTTACTTATTCCATCATTTCCATATCTCCTATTGTTACTGAACCCTGGCTGTTGGGTGGTTCCCCGGATGCGCCGACTGGTAGTGCTTCTCTCCCCTGCTGATTGATACCTGACATTGTAGTTTTCTTCTTCATCCTGGCCATACTTACTTGGAGCATTACTATCACGCCTCACGTTGCCAAACTTTGGTTGCTGGATATTTCCCCATTGAGGCTGTGTCATAGTGCTTTCCTCTGCTGACCGATAACCACCAATGTAGTATTCATCTGCATCCGGACCATAACTATTTGGAGCATTACTGCCACGCCTCGGGTTGCCATACTTTGGTTGCTGGATGTTTCCACCACGACGGTGAGTCATAGTGCTTTCCCCATCCGCTGATCCAACATCGTCTTCTTCATCTTCATACAAAACATGCTTGCTGGATGTAGCCTGACCTTTTGGCGGTCGGGTAGGTTTCGGGATAGTCTTGTCTTCATCTTCATCCCGGCCATACTTTTCATCCAGAGGATTACCATATATTGGCTGCTGGTCGTTCCTATGACTAGGCCGAGTCCCAGCAATTTTCTCGTCGTACCAAGGTCCATCATCTTCATTGTCCTCCCGCCCATACTGTCTTCCAGTATTATTACTACCACGACAAACTCCACCAAATTGGTTCTTTTTCCAACTGGGCAGAGTCTTCTTAATTTCCTCATCCTCGGAGCTTTCTCCATCATCATCATCTTGATCCCGGTTATACCCTTTTCCAGGGACATTGATGCTACGAGTAACATTACTAGGTCTTGACTGTTGCCCGCTCATTCGGCTGGGGCGAGTCTTATCAGCTTCCTCTTGACCTCCAATAACTTCACCTCCTTGTTCACCGGATCTGAACTTTTGAGTGGTCTTGCGGCTGGGCTGAGTCCTACTGGTTCCCTCGTTGGCAAATTGATCTCCATCATTTTCATCTTCGCCTTCATCCCTAAAATACTTTTTCAACGAAGGAGCACCACTGCCATGGCTGGCTTTACTGGATCCTCCCTGCCTTACATTTACTCGACTTGGCTGAGGCACTTCCACTTCCTCATCCTCCACAGACTGATCTGTTAAATCTCCATCTTCATATTGTTCATCCTTGTATGACTGGGCTAACGAGTCCCAATCAATGATCATACATACATCACACAAATCCTGATTAGGATCCTCCCAGCCAGCATATAAGCAGTCCCCGAATGGTGGTCCGCTTCTAAACAAACAAGCATAGTGTCCAAGCTGAACATGCAAAAACCGAACTGTTGCAGGATCACCATTCACATAGACGGGGTTGAACAGCGTGCATGACCATTTGGATCGATCTTCCTCGGGCCGGTCAGCTGCCCCACGAATCCACCAGTGTTTAGGAGACCACCTAACCAAGTATTTGTTGTTGTAGCAGCACTTCAGGTGCACTAATCCATCACCGGATTTGGCCATCTTCACCTCGAATTTCGCATATTGACTCGTAGCCTTGTCTTCAGAGTACTGGAGGAACCCATGCTGCTCGCCACCTTCATGTCTGTAACGCAAGTACTTGCTATTATAACTCGATTTGAGCACCACGAACTTCGGCAGTGTTGTTCGATTTTGTGACATGGAGGAAACTCGTTTCTGAATTCTAGTGGACAGAGAATCCCAATCGATGACTGCACAAGCATCACACAAGTCGTGGTTGGCAGCTTCCCATCCTGCGTACAAGCAGTCACCAAATGGAGGCCCGCTCCTGAACAAGCAAGCATAGTGATTAAGCTGGACGTGCTGAAACCGAACTGTTTTCACGTCGCCATCAATAGGCACGGGCTTAAACAGCGTACATGACCATTTAGATTGGTCTTCTTCAGGTCGATCAGCTGCTCCACGGATCCACCACTGACTGGGAGAACTCCGTACCCAGTACTTCTTATTGACACAGCACTTGAGGTGAATCAATCCACTCCTGCTGCTCGAGACCTTGACCTCAAATTTAGAGTAAGGACTTGCAGCATCATCTCCGGAGAACTGCAAAAAGCCCTGTTGCTCCCCTCCTTCATCCCTGTAGCGCAAGTACTTGTTGTTATACATGGACTTCAAAACAACATACTTTGGCAATTTCATAATTTTTTTTTTCAACCCACTTCTCTCAAGATACCTCTCCCCCCTCGGTTTCCGAATGAAAACTTCTGCTTGGTTTGGCAGAATTGAAATAGTGGAAGAGTTTAGGTAGATAGGATCATCTGAATGAGTGGGCAATTGTCCCTAAATGTGTGATCAGAAAAGAGAAACAAAAGAGGCATACTTAAAGGAGTTCATTCATTGACAATTCCGGGTTTATTGCGATTGACGAGCTTTTCTCAGCCTTGAAATATTGGAACACTATATGAAAGGGGCATTTTACCAAACATATAGAAGGCATGGAAGATTGAGATGAGCTTATCATATTCGACATTGACTTGACTTATCAGAAAGAACAGATAAGTTAAACTTCAACAACCAGAATCTAGAATGACTGACGCATAGTACCTCAGCAACAACTGTCACTGTAATCAAGTCTTACCGGCCAAAAGATCACTGCATGAAAATGGAGGGCGAACCCTTCTGCTCGCCTGACCCTTGGCCGCCGATCTTCCGGCCGTCGGGGATACAACATCGCCAGAGAGATTGAATGTGGCACTTCTCATCGGTTGGTAGCAGTCTAAACCGGACGGAAAATCCGCGCGCGTCAAGTGATTTATGGGAGATTAAAGGATTCATCGGAGACGTGAACGGCGGTCGATGACTGGAAAATCCGTAGCGAAGGGGTGGTGTGTGCGCTCGGGCTCGGGCTCGGGCTCGGCCACATGGGCCTATTGGTACCGGCCCAAACAGCAAGACTCAGTTAGCGCGTAAGAGCACATCAAAATTGTCCAATCCTTTTCTCGAAATGTAACTTCCCAAACGGCTAGATTACTATTCTTAACCTGTTGTCGGACCGTATTGTATAACACTTTTTGCTGTACCGATTCTATTGAAATGCAATTTAAGTAACTTCTTAATTGAAAAGGGGAGAGAAAGAAGGTTTGATTAAGAGCAATGAACAAGCAACCTCTCTTCTTCTCTCTCGGATCATATTTCAAGTTCAAATAAGTTGCTTATACATCCAGAAATAACAGACCAAACTCCTAACCTTACACATCACCATTCACTAGTCGTCACTTGTCATTACTTGTCAGTTGTCACCTTACAGTATAAAGATATAACATAATAATGACGACAACAAATAATAATGGTGCAGCTCTTTGTCCTTGTCCGGACTCCGGACCGCCCAGACTCAAGGTTCCTATAAATTTTGGGAGTTGCTAAAGGTCGCCCTTAAAATTGCTAAAGGTCGCCCTAAAAAGAATAAAAGTTACACTTTTAACCCCCATAGCTTCTTTACCTTCCCTTCCTCAAACAAACATCACTTGGACTAAAAAAACACTCTCTAAGGAGAGAAAAATCTCTCATCGTCATTTTGAAGCCGATATCGTCGATAGGACGTCTGAATCATGAGTAGCGACTCCGACGAGGTAAGAACATGAACCAAAAAAAAAAAACACAGAAAATGGGAACCGCGGGTGATTTGCGGTCCGACCATGGTCCAACCGCAAGTAACCTGCGGTTGGACCATGGTCGGACCGCAAATCACCTGCGGTTGAGCCATTGGTGGACCGCAATTGACCTGCGGTTGGACCATGGTCGGACCGCAAATCACCTGCGGTTCAGCCATGGTCCAACCGCAGGTCAATTGCGGTCCACCAATGGCTCAACCGCAGGTGATTTGCGGTCCGACCATGGTCAAACCGCAGGTCACTTGCGGTTGGGCATTTTTGGTTTTTTTTTTTTTTTTTCGTTGAATAATTTTTTTTTATATGATTTATGATTGTTCCATGAAATAATTTGTTGGGTTTTGATTTATATAATTTATTAGATTTATTTGCATAATTATTTTTGGAATTGAAGGATTTAGCATTAGAAATTAAGATTAGATTTTTGGAATTGAAGGATTTAGCATTAGAAATTAAGATTAGATTTGGCCTTAAATTAAGATTAGATTTAATTTGGTGTTAATCTAGAAAATTAAGATTAGATTTTGCATTACAAATTAAGATTAATATAATTTATTAGATTTATTGGGTTTTGATTAGATTTTTGGAATTGAAGGATTTAGCATTAGAAATTAAGATTAGATTTGGCCTTAAATTAAGATTAGATTTAATTTGGTGTTAATCTAGAAAATTAAGATTAGATTTTGCATTACAAATTAAGATTAAATTTATTGCATAAATAATAGATTCGCATATGAAGTTATGATGATTATTAATTTTAATACTGATAACATTGCAGGATATTGGAAGTTACAATCCGGATGGCCATGATTACACCTCGGATTTCATTGATGGCGTGAAATACACTACGGAGTTGCAAGCATATGAAGCAGCCATTGAGATTGCAAAGGGTTTTGGGTTTTATTTGGTGAGGGCATCGAACAAAAAAAATACGAATGAAGGTACTTGGCGACATTACTTACATTGCACTCATGGTAGGAAGAAGAAGTCGAAGGAACCTGATCCGAGTAAGGAAACGAGGCCTCTTACATCTACTGAAAAGTTGGGGTGCGAGTTTAAGATCAAGCTTGAGCGGTCAGGTGATGGATATTGGTTGATCCTAGGGGTGGCAAATACAAAGAATCCTGGTGCTAATTTGGGTTTCCACAATCATCAGTTGGAGCTATTTCCGGAGGGATCAAAGGGAAGGAATGTTTTGACTACAGAGGACAAGCAATACATCAGAGAGCTGAGATCAGCCGGTGTCCCACCAAGGAATATCCACAAGGCAGTGAATGACAGAAAAGGTGCAAATGGAACACACAACAGAAAGCAGATTTATAACGAGTGTCACAAGATAAGGAAAGAAGAGCTTGGTCAGATGACAGCCTTACAGTATACTTTCCGCATGGCGCAGGAGAAGGGTTACTATGTGCAGTATATGGACGATCGTAACGTGCTTACACACTTGTTCCTAGCCCACCCCGAGTCAATATTGATGTTGCGAGCTTGGCACCATGTGATCGTGATAGATGCAACATACAAGACCAACAAGTATGATATGCCTTGGGTTGAGATTGTCGGCATGACACCAGTGGGATTGAACATTGTCATTGCATCTGCAATAGTGTACGACGAGACGAAGGAGTCGTACCAGTGGCTTCTGACGCATTTGCAACATCTTCTTGGCCCCATTGTTCCAGATGTGTTTGTCAGTGACAAGGCAGGAGGATTGGTTGAGACCGTGGGGGTAATGTTTCCATCATCGACTCATATTTTATGTCTTTGGCATATGGATAGGAATGTGAGAGCAAAGTGTCTAACGGAGGTGCGAAGGACGACTCATTGTGGTATAGATGCAGCCAAACCGACAGTGGATCAGATCATGGCGTCTTGGCAACGTGCTGTATATGCATTGACAGTGGAAGACATGGATACTGCCTTAGAGAATTTCAGACGTGGTTGGGGAGTACAGTACCGACGTCTTTGGGGGTATATGACAGCTGAGTGGTTACCAGTTAGACACATGTGGGCTAAATGTTATACCAATCAACTGCGGCATTTGGGTAACACAAGCTCTAATAGGGTTGAAGCTGCCCATTCCTCCTTCAAGAAGTGGCTTCAATCATCTACTGGCGCAGTCGACACGGTTAGTAATCTAATAAATCTTTATTGATACACACATAAGTTTTAGTAGTTTCCTAATTGTTCTTCATTGTTTGTAGGTATACAAGAAGAACGATGATTACATTGAGGCTCAACACCTTCAAATCAGGAAGCTGCTGGAGGATTCCCGACAAAAGAAGCTGCTCCGAGCGGATGGAAAACCATTTCGAGAGTTGAATACGAAAGTCACTCTAGAAGCTCTGAGGTTGATGTTGTTCGAGGTAGCAGTGGAAGGGGAACCTTGTACATGTACGTTTCTTCCTACCTATGGTCTCCCATGTAGATGTTCCATTCAGTTAGCACGACGTGAAAATCGGGATTTCGCCTTGTATGATGTGTTGCCATTCTGGACCGTTATCAACTATCGTGAACCTCCTACTCGGCCGGAGTGGGATGACCATAGTGATTACCACCGTGGTGTGTTCCAAGGTCTAGTACATGAGGTTCTTGATAGAGGCGACGAGACCATTCGAGGTGCAATCGGCCTACTCCGGAGCCATCTTCATCCTGAAAATGATGGCATTGATGAACCGCATGGGGGACAGCCCCGCCCCGGTCGCCCAAGGACGTCCACCACTCGAAACCTGTCTCACTTCGAGCATGTGGAGAGGAGACGAGGGAGGAGAAGTTCAAGACTTCCGACTGCAACTCCGGACAATGATGGAAATACAGGTAGATTAACTTTTTCTTTTAGTTGTGTTCAATTGTCCTCAATATGGTGTACAACTAATCTATTTTTTTTAAATGAGATAGGTGGTGCCCCGAATGTGAATGCACAAACCAACTTCGAGGATGAGACGGAGCCGATCCATAATGATACAGGTTAGAAATTATATTCCTAATTTCGGGTAAACATATAGTGTAACTCTTTGTATTAATTTATCGTGTTATGCTCTTTGGCTAGATGGTGCATCGAATGGGAATGCACAAACCAACTTCGAGAATGGGACGGAGCCGGTGATCCATAATGATACAGGTTAGAAATTATATTCCTAATTTCGGGTAAACATATAGTGTAACTCTTTGTATTAATTTATCGTGTTATGCTCTTTGGCTAGATGGTGCCCCGTGGAGGGTTGCTCGGATTCCCAATACTAGTTGGAAGAATTACCCATGGCTACATTGTTTGGAATCCTACGTGCAACGACTAGTTCGTGGTTGGTTCAACCCTATTCCAGATGGACACTGTGGATTTCGAGCTATATCACAAGCAGCTACTGGGGACCAAAGGAATTGGCCACAAATGAGACGCGCTGTTCTAGAGGAGCTTGAATCCCGTCCTGAGCTTTATAGAGCCTACTATGATGGAATAGCAAATGGAATAGAAGATGGCATTCGACGTTGCAGGTGGGCATCAACAAGTGGCTGTGGACCTTTCAACTGGATGGATAATGCGGAACTCTTCGTCTTCGCCACCTTGCATTCATGGGCCATCGTTGTATACAGTCAAGGCGGTCGTTATACCGTGCTACCTGTGACGGCCCCACCAGGAGTAACAAGACCACGTGGGATCTTATCACTACATTTTACGGGGGATCATTGGGTGCGACTTGACTTTCGACATGGTCAAGTGCCCATGCCTCCAATTAACTACCTTTGGCCTATTTATCATGACCCTAGTGTCAATGGGTGGGATCAATTCTTCTTACATGAGCGTGCGCTTTATGATAGATTGAACCCACGGGGATGAATTGTATAACTCTCTATTGTATAACTCTCTATTTACGAATTGTATAACTCTCTATTGTTGAAACATTTAGTAATCTACCATGTTGATTAACTATTTTAGCAATGCATTGAATGTAACTAAAGTAAAAAAACACACAACCGTCTCAATTAAACTACAAACGATGACAAATAAAACACACAATAGTCATAGTTCAACTACAAACGATGACAAATAAAACACACAATAGTCATAGTTCAACTACAAACGATGACAAATAAAACACACAATAGTCTCAGTTCAACTACAAACGATGACAAATAAAAACACAATCGTCTACTGAGGCGGCTGCCCTACCATCTCCTTGGAACCCTCTGCACTCCACTTATATCGCCTCAAAGTCTCTACAGCTCTCGGCCTATGGAAGCCGTCCAACACTCCACGGTCCTGCTCAGGGGAATTCCACAGTACCAAGCCAATGTGACCTCCAAAGCTAGGGATCACATCGGGAATCACTGGTCCACCTGAACACATCGGAGACTCGGCTGTAAGAAACCACGACATATCTTTCCTCGTGGTCTTCCTCTTCCTATTTCCATCTCCGCCATCCTCGCTACTAGGTCTGGACGCATAGCGTCCATCGGGCCCACGGAAGTGGGAGGAGGCAGTAGAAGATACCCCGACCCGTGCCGTCTTCCCCACGCCTAAATCAGCTTGAGGTGGGGCATCCCCAGCCTCAGCATCACCAGCACCATCAACAGCATCATCACCAGCAGCATCACCAGCAGCAGCACCAGCATCTGGGGCATTCCCAACCTCAGCATCACCGTCATCATCATCATCCTCGTCAATGGAATCACTCCAATTAGCCTGCCATACCGGTGCGGTATCTGGTGTAGGAGTACTGGTAGTGCCTCGACTAAGAGACAACTGCCCCACAGTAGGGTGGCCGTCAGGACGCACTACATCCGCCTTCTTCTTCCTTCTAACCTTAGGTGGATTTTTTTCTTCATTTTCCTTCCTACCAGTCGCCGTAAGTCTACAAGCACGACCCTCCATTCTCTCCTTATTTCTCGCCTTAATCATATCCGGTTTACCCATTCCATGTCCAGACATCTTCAAAAAAAAGTTTGAATTATTAATAATGGAGTACATAAAGTAATTAATTTAAGATTTTCATAATTAAAATTATAAAACTAATAGTTTTAACATTATGTTACGTTCTATGTAATAATTATTTACTTTTTAATCAAGGTCAAATTATTAATAATTAAGTAGATAAACGAATTACTTAGAAATTTTGATTATTAAAATGATAAAAACACATTTTTAATTTTTTCATAATGTTCTTTAAATTTGTTATCTTCAATTAACAATTATCGAATACGATTTTAAATTTTTTTATATTATATAACTAAATTATAACTAAATTAATATTATAACTAAATTAACATTTATCGAATACGTTATTATTAATTATCATTATAACTAAATTAGTATTTATCAATAATATAACTAAATTCTTTTATTATGTATATTTTTTTAATTTTTTTTATTATTATTAACATTTATTTAACGAATAATAAAACACAGAATTTAAAAAACAGAATTAAAAAAAACCGAACCGCGGTCAATGCGCGGTTTGACCGACGGTCAACCGCGGTCAACGCGCGGTCCGACCAGCGGCTGACCGCGGTCAAAGCGCGGTTTACCCATCGGTCAACCGCCCTTTGACCGCGGTCAGCCGCTGGTCGGACCGCGCGTTGACCGCGGTTGACCGTCGGTTCAACCGCGCGTTGACCGCGGTTGACCGTCGGTTCAACCGCGCGTTGACCGCGGTTGACCGTCGGTTCAACCGCGCGTTGACCGCGGTTCGGGCAAATTTTTTTTTTTTTTCTTACCTTCTTCTCCACGACGCGACGCGACGGGCGACGGGCGGGCGGCTGGCGACGAGCGATTCTCCGCGAGGCAGGCGGCGACGGGCGGCGACGGGAGGCGACGGGGGCTGGCGGCTGGAGGCGACGGGGGCGGCGGGCTGGCGGCGGGAGGCGACGGGGGCGGCGGGCCGGCGGCGGCAGGGGGCGGCGGGCTGGCGTCGCCGGCAGTTGAGGGGGCCGGCGGTTGAGGGGGAGGGAGTGAGTGCAGAGGTGAGAGTTGGGGGGAGGGGGAGGGAGAATGAATTTGAATTTGCCTTAAGGGCTTGTTTGTTTTGAGTTTTTGCTTAAGGGCATGTAGGTAATTTTATATTTTAGTTAGGGCGATGTTTAGCAATTCTTAGGGCGACATTTAGCGATTCAGTAAATTTTTGGTGATAGTTTGGTTGGAATAGTTACAATGCATATATTGTCTATAATGTATTGTTTTTTTAAAATTTCATCACAAATAATACATGCATTGTTTGATTGATGTGACACAAACTATCACTCAAAATTAGCGATAGTTAAATCTCAAGTTTTTTGTGAGAATGTTGAGATTGTTTCATTGAGATTGTTGGGTTTTTTCTTTCTTCCAACTATGTCACTACCTTTTTATCTGTGTTGCTTCTTTATATTAAAAACAAATGGTAAAAGCGACATTTCACTCAAAAAGTAATATAACTTATTTAAATACTACAGTAAGCCAATAACTATCACAGAAACCAAACAATGTAAACTACAATACACCAATTTTCTTATATACATTTATATTATCATGCATGCATTGATGACAATGTATCAATTTAACTACTAGCAAAACCAAACCAACCTCAAGTTTCACAAATGTTTAAATTTTCATTTATTAGAACATAATAGAAAAAGGAAAGTAAGGTGCTTATATAGTTTATATTTACTCATTTCATTAATAAATACAATGATGTTAGCTAGTTTAATGACAGGAGAGGTCACTTTCACTATACTTGAAGAAATGCAGATTACAGAGGTTGAAAAGATATGTATATAGAACCTTCTCAAGAAGATCTAACCCTAATCAAACATAGAAATTGAAAAAAGTTACAGTCGGCTGTCTTCAAACAACAACAACACTATTATTTGTCGACCTAGGTTTGATCCAATCATTGTAGTAACAAAATTTGACTCAGAAGTTCTAATTTTAAGACCCGTAAATTTACGCACGACCTTCTTTCTCTTCCCTAACCTACTCTTTGGTAACCATGCAGAAAATAATGGTGATGGTTAATACGTCAAAAGATGGGGTTAGAAAAGGAATTTAAAAAAGAATGCGCCACCAGCAAAAAACGAAAAACCTCCAAACAAACCAGAAAAATGGTTGAAATACCAAAGGAAAGCTGCTTCCCAACGGCTACACCCTTTTCTCCTGCCTGATTCAAGTTTCTTGAGCTTCAGCAGAAGCAAACAATACAACAATTCCACACATTTACGTCCTAGCCATCCACATCTCCCGCCTGCCATTTTACCCACCTTGCTTTCTTCCTCCTTTTCTGCAGATTTCTTAACGTTCTCTGCAAGCACATTTCTCTGTCCTGTAGTTCAAGAGTACATTGTCCTGAAGCTACCACCTTTCACTTGCTCCATACGTACTCATCCGAGGATTCTCCTTCCTCACCTACCCTTTTTTACATATGCTTCCTTCCCTTCACTTTAATCGCAATCAAACTGATCTTCAGTCTGGTGACTTCTCACTTGTCAGAGAATCAATCAAAACACACACTTCTTGATGAGACCTCAAATCCTCCCCTCTCTAGCCATTTGCTCGTTTCTCCTAACACTGTTTCAGGATTTGAATCCTTAAAGCCAAAGCTTGCTTTTGGTTTTCTGCTCCTTTCTTCTCTTTTCTTTTGCATTTCCGGGGAAGGAGGGGGAGGAGGAATAACTATGCCTTTCGGGCTGGTTTCTGCTTGGAACAAGAGAAGGAGAAGCAAGTCCCAGGATCACAGTGACCCCTGTATGTATTCCTCCCCTCCTGTGGAAATCATCCTTCCTGCAACTTGAAGTTATGTAGCTTGGAAACTGGTTTCATCTCTATGTGGTTTCCAGGGGTATACAGGCCTGTCGAGTACTGGAAGCTAGAAGATCGAACAACCCAACCCACGAAGCGACACCATGGATCATCGGTCTTTACTCTCAAGGAAATGGAGGACGCTACTTGCTCGTTTAGTGATGGAAACTTTCTTGGTAAAGGAGGGTTTGGCAGAGTGTACAGAGGAACTCTGCGATCTGGAGAGGTAAACACACTATGCAGTTCAATCAAGTGGTCAAGTTTCATAATAAGAGTACAAGTGAACCCACATCTCAAGCAGAAGAAGAAGGTGGGTTTTGACTTTTGCAGGTAGTAGCAATCAAGAAGATGGAGTTACCTTCGTTTAGAGAAGCTGAAGGGGAAAGAGAGTTTCGTGTCGAAGTCGATATCTTGAGCAGACTGGATCATCCAAATTTGGTTTCGCTGATAGGGTATTGTGCTGATAGGAAGCAGAGGTTTCTTGTGTATGAGTACCTGCCAAAAGGGAATTTGCAAGATCACTTGAATGGTACTTTGGCACTCATCGTCCAGTTTAGAGTGAATGCTTAAACCCTTTTCAGTTGTTGATCAAGTTATCTGCTATTTTCATTGCAGGAATAGGGGAAGCAAAGATGGACTGGACACAAAGACTAAAAGTGGCCATTGGAGCAGCCCGAGGACTTGCTTATCTCCATTCACCGTCTGCCGTTGGTATACCCATTGTTCACAGAGACTTTAAATCCACCAACGTTCTTCTCGGTGCGAACTTTGAAGCCAAGGTGAACAAAATCCACTTCTTTCTTTTTACATGTTCAGAAGGAGAGAGGACCTGAAATAAGAATGGTATCAATGAACATCTTATGTCCTTGCAGATTTCTGATTTCGGTTTGGCTAAGTTGATGCCAGAGGGCCAGGAGATCTACGCAACTGCTATGGTTCTGGGAACATTTGGCTATTTTGATCCAGAGTACACATCAGTAGGTGTTCTAAATTCCCTCTGTAGTAATAAGCTAGAGTAAGACCAACCTGATAACTAAAACTGGAAAACTCAAACTCAGTTGCTGCAGTAGGGACACCACCAACCAACCAAAAGGACCAGCTCTAACATACCTATTCTTGTTCTGGTAGTTTAACTAGCTAGAAAGAAACGAGGATTTCATTTTGCTCCTTTTTCTGCAGACAGGAAAGCTCACTCTACAAAGTGATGTCTACGCATTTGGAGTGGTTCTTCTTGAGCTATTGACAGGACGTCGAGCTGTTGACCTAAACCAAGGACCAACTGATCAAAACCTAGTTCTGCAGGTGGGAAAATTCAACCTCCAGAACAGTTTTCTTTCTAAAAGCAGAAGTTCTGGAGACTCACTATTTGCTTTAATGGAGGGTCTTGCGTTTTTTAGGTTAGGCACATACTGAACGATCGGAAGAAGCTGAGAAGAGTGATCGATCCAGATATGCCACGGAGCTCGTACTCACTGGAATCTGTAGCCATGTTTGCTAACTTGGCATCACGCTGCGTACGGACAGAAAGCAGTGAGAGACCTTCCATGGCTGAATGTGTAAAAGAACTCCAAGTGATTATCTATACAAATAACTCAAAGGGCTCAGGCATGGGAGGGAATTCATTCAAAATTCTATCATAAAGTTCTGCCTATTTATTAAACACAAGGGCAACTGTGCATTCTAAACAATGAAGATGTTTTCTTCCTCTCTTCCTCTTATTAATAGAGAACCTAATTGTGAATGATACATACAACAAACTGAGAGCAATGGAAGAAACGGTGTAAATTATGAGTTTTTCCGTGCACATTGCTTCCATACCATCAACATTTCATCTTGCCACAGTTAAATGCCGTATATGCTTTGCCGTGCACATACAAGAAATCAATCCATCCTCTCTCACATCATCTCTTCAACTCTGGGGGCACAAGATTTGTTGCTTTAGTATCATCTTGTTGAAGATATTCTGTCCAGCAGACTTTCATAAGGTTACAAGAACATTCCGATACAACTACCACTAGGCATGATTACACTGCAGTGCAGTGCGGTGCAAGAAATTAATGCTGCCTCGTGCAATTGACTGCAGAAGAGCAGGTTCCTAGCACAAATATAACTGAGTACATACCAGCAACGATGATCTGAAGATCTGGACCAGCAGATAGACCTGCCGGAATCAAGTCACTGGATGAGCAGAACAATCTCAGACCTTCGAAGATCCAGAGAAAACTCTTGATATGCAAATGCAATAAGACACAATCACAGCACACAGTTAACATTACATTTTCAGGAGATTGAACAGAAGAAATTAAGAAAAAGAAGTGCACAAAATGGAACAGATGCTATTGTGTCTACGCATGTACCTCAGAAACATATGCTGCAACTTATGCTCCCACTTGTACATGTTCTGGGTCAGGGCCTGGAATGTCAAGTTCTACGTTGTTGGTTGGTACTGGAAGCTTCTTCAGCATCAAATGTTTACGACTTTGCAACAGCAGCAATACCAATATGCTATCTGTCTTAACAACATTATACCCTGCTCGCATGTACATGTTAAAGGGCGCTGAATCAACCATCCTGCAGTGCAGATACACCTCTCTTACAAAGCTCATCTGAGAAATTAACTCCTCGCTTGCTTTCAAAAGATTCCAACCAACTCCCCTCCTGAACGTTCCAAATACACACAACAGGAGATCAAGTTGGTTTCAATCCAATCCATCAACCTACCAGCAATGCGATAATGCACCAAAATGGCAAAATACATGAAATTCAAAAATACCAAATACCACAAATGTTCCAAACTGAGAGTTTAACTCAGTGTCTAGGAATGGCAATGGGGCAGGTCCGGGGCGGGTTTCTTGATACCCAGACCCGCCCCGTGGCAGGTCGGGTCCAGGAACGGTAGAGATACAGTCAACCAATCACTATCCGTAGTAGGTTCATGGTCAAGAGGAACCATAATACGAATTCCACCGCCTAACTCAATAGCATAAAAGCAACCAAAACCAGCAAATTGATGACACCACTAGCCTTCTCAACAGAGCATTTAACTCAGATTATATGACCCACAATGGATGCAATTTATAACTTCAGATTGAGGAAGCCAGAAAAGAGAAAGTAACCACACAGTCCGCTTTCTTGCGCCATCGCCCTCGTCCTTTTTTCACTTCATGCTCAAGATTCAAGAAGGTCATCTAACATATAAATGCCAGTCCCTAACCGGTGTCTCCTAAAAGCTACCTCAATCTGGACAATTTAAACCAACAAGATCGGAACTTTTACACTACCAAAGCTAAAGGCAGGAAACAATTTGTACAATTATAAGCTTTCTTACTACCAACTCAATGCAAGAAGAGCCGATGAGATTTGGAACTAGTTACCTACGGAGTGGCTTGTTAACAGTCATGTTGCAGATATAGGGAGAGTCCTTCGGCGCTGTTGGCGTGGGAGGAGAATCATTTGCCCCTCTCTTATTGAAACAAATTTCCACAGTCCCTGCTAACTCCCCTTCCTCATCGTCCTCCCCCTCTGCCTCCGCTGCCTCTTCCTCTCCGCCCCCGCTGCCGCCGTCTTTCAATTTAACGAACCCTAGAAGCGTAACGGCATGGGGAATCGCGGCCCGCCTCTCCATCAAGTACTGCTTCACCAAATAACTAATCAAGGGCAAGTACCAATCGGGCAGCATCATGGACTCCACAAAGGACTCGGAGAGCAACTTCACTGTTACATCGGTCTCGTCCGGCCTCATCACCCGAATGCAAAGCGACCCGGTTCTCAATTCTCGCCGATACCGAAAGTCCTGAAGGCTCTGGAGCTTGAGAAGCTCCTCGTTGAATTTCCTTGTCTTCAACCAGTCCTCTAGCCTCGAATAGGCAGCGGAGGCGCTGCTGCTAGTAGATTCGCCGGCCAAGCAAAGAGGAGACTCCGACGAGGAGGCAGAAGAGCAGGATGATTGAGGGCTGAGGCGAAATTGGGACCTGTGAGATAAGAGGAAATGGTGATTGTGATTGAGAGGGGAAAGGAAGAGTAGTGATCTGTGGCGGGAAGAGGGAAGTGATGGATCTGATGGGGAGGGAGTGAGAGCGAGTGAGAGTGTGGAAGCCGCCATTGGGAACGCGCAGAAGAAGGGAATTGTGACCTGTGGGATGTGGCTAAATCATAACAGGAAACGGAGGACGAACGTAGCAAAACGAATGAAGGCAAAGTGGCAAACTGAAATGCCATCATTAGTAGAACTTCTGGCAAACGTGTTTTATTAAAACGTATAAAATTATACTTTGATAATTATTTTGTATCAAGTGAATTGTGTGACAATTTAGGATAGTTATCAATATATTCGTACCAAAAGTTTTTTTTTTATCGATTTTGTACCAAGTGAATTGTGTGACAATTTAGGATAATTATCAATACATTCGTACCAAGGAATTGACTTGTGGAAATTGAAAAAAAATTCACGTTTGGATAGGGTTTAGTTTTGTGGGAATTGATGGTGTGGAATTTGGAAAAAGAAGTAAGAAAACGCGGTAATGTCAAATTACTAGGGGGAGGTGTAGTATTCTCAATTACCATGAATGTGGTAATTGAAGCAAATTTCCATGGTTCAATTCCCATACCCTTTTTGCTCTCCCAAACGTGGGGTTTTAACCCAATTACTGCATTATGTGGTAATTGGGTCCAATTACTGCATTACATTTCCACATCCAAACGACCTTAGTTGTATGTGGTTCGAACGGACATGTATTTTTGGCAGTCAGGGCTCTACATTTCTGTGGTTCAAAATAGCTTACCCTCATCGGTTATTTTTAAATCCATACTTGTGGGGTTTTATATCCCTCATGAACAATATCCTTCATTTTTGTATGCCTTCCTAAATGCCTTGTTTTTGCAAAATCTAAGAGAATGTGGAATTGTGGCAAAATCATGCACAAGAAATCCACATCTAAACAATCCTCTTAAGTAAAGGAAGCAACTTTACACGACTTCTTATCACTAAAACCTTTTTCTTATAATCTACATGTTGGACTTGTATTAAGCATGGTTCAAGAATGAGTAGTTCTACTCACGCCTAAACACACTTAGGCTCTAGAGGATAACAAAACGCCTCACCTAGGCCTAATGCAGCAAATATTCATGATGTTGAGGCATAGCTAGGCGGTGTCTAATCAAGATTAAGCGTTGTGAGGCACGATTAGACAATTGGAGGTGTACTTAAGTGCAACTAGTAGACCATGGGAAGAAGAAAAAACATAGTTACTAATTTCCCCAAAACAAATCCATCTCAAACAACCTTAAATGCGTCTTTCGATCCTTAATTCTATTTGGAATTATAAATCGTGACTCTAGATTATAAATGTGCTTCTCGTCATTGTTCATTCCCTTTGATCAACCATCGTCGTGGACGTCCAACGGCTAGTAACCATGATCTCATAACCTCATTGTCATTCCATCCCTTCAACGTGTCCTATGCCTTATTGATTGTCGTCGGCGTTTAGGGCAACTCTTACAGCTATCGAATCGGTTCTTGGGCTATCACTATCTAATAACGAGAAACCCACAAGCTTCTTCTCGTCACTCCATTCTCTTTTGATCCCAACATCCACAAGTTGGGCGTATTGACTCCTTATTCTCCACTTTCTAAATCGTCATTCTTCTCCTCGTCGACTAGAGTTAAAAGTGGTCATGCCAAGATTAGAGAACATGATGCTTGCAGTTGCATGCTACATTTGAGACAATACTTTTTCACTTATAAGTTACTTGCAACGTTCTCAACGATATATTCCAGAAACAACACCCTCAAATACAGAAATCTTCTACCACATTAGAGCATATCTACATCACTTGACCCTATACACAATCCAATGACCCTGCGCGAAGCGCGGACACTAAGTTCTAGTATTATATAATCAATGGAGTCTTCTACGAAATAATCAAATGACTTCCAAACAAAATTCCGATTCTTTGCAACTTTCAAAGCTAAAGAGAATTTTTTTTTATGGAGAAGAGCCATCACAGTCTGTGTTCTTGATTTCTTTGATGGATGCTTCAATCTTTCAGGGTTTCTGTGTCGAAGTTTATTTTTCCAACGAGAAAGCAAGACTGGGAATGGAGCCCTAACAAGTTGAGAGCAATAGTAGATCTCCCCCCCCTCATTATTGCAATCCTCCATGGCATCGCAAAATTTTCCTCGGACTTGGCTAAATTTCACTAAATTATTACTCTTGTGGGATAATAAGCAGCCAATGAATTAGAGGTGTAACTTAGGGAACTTCATAATCTCATAAAGGTGCTGATAATCCTGAGATCTAAAACCATGAAGAAGGATGGAGCAAACTGGAACCAACATCTCATTCCGCCAGGCGCCAAGGCCAAGCAATGCATGCTCAAGCCTCAAACCAACTCAACGAGATTATCCGACACCAAGAGAATGTAAGAACCAGACATTTATTTCTTGTGCCTATGATATCAATCCAACTCCGCCAAAGAAAGAGCTGCAACCCCTCAGCAGTTTGAAAATCATACACAATAGAACCTCTCAAGAGGGCACCGAAAGAAGACCAACTAAAAATGTTATGAGAAACTCAGCTATGACAAATCCCCAGTTGCTTCAGCAGTATGATTGAAATGCAAAATGAGCTACGGTTAGGGAGGTTACTGAAACATGCTTTGCTCACACAGAGTGTAGCAACGAGCCACACCGCATTTCTTTGCCCAACTAGGCAGCCTTTCGAAGACATTGCACAGGATCCCAAAAATTTGATCTTCACGGGCGAGTTTGCAACCTTCTCCTCTCCAGCTCAAGCTGAAACAATAACAAAGGTAATCAAAGTAAATAATCTGCAAACAATGTGAAGAACAAAAGTCTGCTACTGAGACTCTTACCACTTTTTTCACCCGGTCGTTAGCAGCAGGAGTTCCTCCAATAACATTTTCAGGAAGATAAGGGCTACTAACTCGCACTTCATTCATAACAACTATAGAGGTCTTGTCCCAGCGAACTGGAAGCCTGGTTTAATTTGCATAAGAATCAGCAGTAAAGCTAATCATTTTCTACAGAAAGAACCCTTATGAGGTAAGAAAGCGATATTTAAAAAAGAGAAAGGAAGCATCTTCGAGTCTTGAACGGAATTTTGACAGTAAGCCAAGGCAAAACACAACCATTTAGAAGCTAATTCAAACAAGACAAGCACAACACGATTACACGAAACCTATAAACCAAGTGCATACGTGAAGAGGACAAGTACAGATCTCTGAAGATTACTAGTAAACGGCACTTAGCACCACCCTGGGATACTAGAATCGAAGTTCGTCTGAGTACCGAATAAGTCATCTCAAATCAGAAAACATCAACACTACAATTCGAGTGTCTTCCCTACAGTCTAAGTCACTCCCTAATTCAACCCCAAACTGGACATCATTCATCAAGAGATTAAAATGAACAGGACACACGAAGAGAACTAGCATACATCCAATATCAGGAACCAGCTGATTCTCATTGAGAAATTCAAGTCCAATAGTAGATTCATAACAGTTGCACGACGACAATCAAAATGGGAGTAAGGAACATGAGCATACGTCTTAGACAAGGCGTCAAAGATACCCTGGGCCTCAGTAGTGACACCAACTCCAATTCTCTCGGCATCTGCTTCAGCTTGCCTGCAAAAATCATATGAAAAAAGAAAACAGGAAAATCAATGGGAAGAGCCATCAAAATCCCTAAACCAAACAAAGCAAACCCAAAAAAATTGAATTTACCTCAACGCTAGTTCCTCGCGATCCTGGAGGCTCTGGAGATCGATATAACACTTCTTGATGTCAAGTGGGTCTTCCGATTGACCTAAAAAAGAGAACTCCTTGATGTAATTCGTCTTCAGGAACCGTATGTTCCTCCTCGGCCCAGGTTTGGATCCCTCTTGTGAGAATCAAAACAACACAGTTAAGGAATCAAGAGCAGAGAAGGTTTCAACCCATTCTCAGCATACGCGAGAAAGAAAAGACGGAATGAGAAATGAAGGATAGTTGGGAGAGAAGGATATGAAGGACGAGGATGTTGGATGGGCGGTCGAAGGTGATGACTTGGCCGTCGAATTCGTCGCCTAAAGTGGTTTTGATGGAGAGCATGCAACCCACTGCGAAGTCCTCGTTGCTGCTGCTGTTGCTAATGCTACCTTCCATGGCTGCCGCTCCCTGTTTCTCTGTCGCTGAACTCTCACTATTCTTCTCCGGTTGCTCTTCCTTGATTCAATTTCTTCGCTTCAGGGGAATTTTCCAGTCTTTCGGCTTCCTTTGTGTTTGTCGGACTCTGGCTTCGTGTTTAATTGGCCTTCTAATTGGGCCTCAGGACAGTTGAATTGGGCTTTTTTAACTGTGGTGGTTAGCCGTTCAGTATGCCTAGGATTTATAGATCGATTAGATCTGGCTGATTTTTTTGAGTGTTCGGACTTCGGCGAATTCGTATGTTTCGTATCAAGAATTTGGTACAAAAATCTAACCATGAACGATTTTGTTACAACCTCTTATTTGCTAGACAATACATTAGGAGATAAATTTGTGGGTCTTATGAATTTGAATTTTTTTTACTTCAAATCTGTTGACCCTATAAATTTACAAATCTCACATGATAACGATCAATGATTGAAAATTAATTTGTAAAATGACATCTATATCTCTATTAATTTTTATTATTCCAATTTTTCCTCTTTCTGTTGTCGATTTTGTTTCCCCGCAAATACAGAGCACCTCTTCCTCCTCGCAATGGAACACGTCAAGATTGTATGACTCGACAATCGTGTAACCATGCAATGTAGAATTTTATTTATACATGACATGTAAGAATTTATGTAATTTCATAATAGAGTACCTACTTTGATAGAATTGTGATATGGAGTGTTTATGGTGATGATGTGAGTTCAATCTCGGTATCTTATAATGCGTCACTCTCCTTAACATCTACTAAATTGTGACCAAATTAACACAAAATTATCTCAACCGATATGGCCACGACTTGACCAAACAGGGGAGCTGAATCATTAATCCAAACCCAGCTATGTTTATTTGACGAGCAGATATATTCACTGTATTACCCGAAAACAGCACCCAGTCTTTACCCCAACATTCAAAATCTCAGTCTTTCACTGCCAAATATCAGCTTGGAGAAACGAACTAAAGCGTCAACAAAATTCGCAACCAAATTAGTTGCTTCGTATACACATGACAAACAATTAGAGAACCAACTTTCTCCCGCTTAAGGGGAATGGAATATGATAAAAGAATACAGAGAAGGACAAGCTAAACGACTCGTCATTATTTATTCAGACCATTTCCTTCTGTTCATCATCTTCACAAATGGTGTACTGCGGCTGAGGGGGTCACTGCTTCGTTGTTGGAAAGAGAGCGCGAGCTCTCAAAGCCACCATATTCACTCCATTATGCTCGTCACACGCACTTGATGTTCTTTTGCTGAGGCATGTGTCACTGCTTCATTGCTGGAAAGTGAAAGTGCTCATGTCATTCCAAGATGAGCTGCTGCACTTGATCTTCTTATGCTGAGGTAAGTGAAACTTTGGTTCTTTGGGGACTGTTGGATGCTTCGTTGACCTTATTCAAACCAAAATCGAATTCACCCCACCAAAAGTTATTACTAGTGAATGGTGGACCAGATTGATATCCTCTTATGCCAATTGAGGAAACAGTAGAAACTGATTTAAAAACGGGGGTTTGTGAAACATCGTTGTTACCTTCTGGGAATGAAGGGTCTGTCAAAGTAAGGCATGTGCTGTGCTTTTGGAACGAGCTCCTTTCGTAATCTTCGTATTTCTTCCTCCTCTGCTAACTACAGGAATTAAACCCGTTTTACATCAGTAGCTAAATACCAAAATTAGCTTATTCTATATGCAAAGAACCCACCAACAAAAAATCACAGCACTTACCTTTTGCTGCCGCTCTCTTTCCATCTTGTATTCCTCAATGAGAGTTAGCTTCTCCGATACCTAATATTAGTACAACAAAGAAGGGCTTACATCAATCAAGCGAGCGAGCAACAGGCATATCAGCTTGCCTCTGTAGTCAGTTAGTTAACATCTACAGAGTAGCTGAGTAACAACTACTAATCATGAGAGTGACAGGGCATCAGCATGCCTCTGTGATCAGTTAGTTAACATGAACGCAGTGACTGATTGAGTGACAACTACTTAGTACTGTCACAACAGCTGCTTAAACAGCCTGGTGTAGATCCATCAACAAAAGTTTTTCTTTTTTGGTTGAACAACAAAAGTTTCTTTAACAATTTACCTCGGTAATACACAAGACTTAGTACTATCACAATTCACAACAGCTGCTTAAACAGCCAGGTGTAGATCCATCAACAAAAGTTACTTGCTCTTTGGTTGAACAACAAAAGTTTCTTTAACAATATACCTGGTGGTCAAATTCAGCACGTTCCATTGCACGTACGTCGCTGTGAAGCGTCAGATCAACTGGCATTGTGGTCTCTTTCACAGGAGGTTTAATAAGGTGCTGAAACGGAGAAAGCAAACTGCAAATGAGCTCTTGAGAACAAACATGGTGTACTTGGTTGGGTTATCAATACCAATTTCCCAATATTTTGAGTGTTCTTCAGTCAAACACCAAGCAAGGTAGGCTTATTCTAACAAATCCGCCTCACCTCGGGCTCATCTGTTGTCCATGGAAGACCTTGTGCAATTGGTATCCGCTGCCTCTCCTCCTCGGTCATCATTTCATGAATCTTCTTCATGAATTCCTCTTCCTTCATTTTCCCCCTTTGCTGCAAAGTGCGGACCAAGACTAAATTCAAGACACAGACTCTCAACAAGAGAAGCAACAGCTCCCTATCCAAAAAGCATTCTTATACCTCTGTCCTCAGCTTAAAAGGCTTTAGATTAGTGACTTTTGGCTGCTTTTTCTTCCATCTATTGCCTCCCATAGTTGCACCCGATTCAGAGCTCTGAGAAGAGTTACCACCAAAATCAACACAGATCTACCAAATGAAAAACAAGGGCCTAGCAGAAATGCCACACAGAATGGGTCGAACACTCACATTCCGTCTGCTCCTCCGTCCCCCATTTGATGTCCTACTGTTGAGACTGAAACGCTTAAATTAGTAACAACATTTTGCCAGAACTATAACGAACAACTGGCAACTGGAAAATAATCACTACCAAGTTAACGGACACCATACTCAATACGACTACTAACCTGCACTGACTGCCGTCCCATGAAGAAGAGATTGAAAGCCTCGAATCAAGACCCAAATTCTCGGAAGTCAAGAACAGATCAGATGCACATAACGAAGACGAAGATTCCTGGGCCTCACCATCTTGTTTGGGAGGCGGCTGCATACCAGGCAATGCCCATTGAGTTACCTTCTTCTTTTCCTCCTCCACCTCCAAATCACAATCCTCCTTGGATGCTTTCGGTACGGTCAAAAGCTTCTCAAAAGCCTTGACCAAATGCATCACTTTCCCGTTCTCAGGAGCACTCTTCCTCGCCTCTTCGAGGAACCTCTCCCTCCTTCTCTTAACCGTCGAGCTTCCCTGCAGCGCATCACCCACGCCAGAACTTCCACCATCAATGGAATTTCCGTTCTCCATCATCGGATCCTCCTCGTCCACATCAAGCTCATCTTCACGATTTCCTTGATCCAATTCCTCTCCATCGTTTCTGGACTTGAAGAACCCCTCCTGTGAAGCTCGCAAACTCTCGTACGCCACACAGAGACACTTGTTCCCGATCCCTCCCTGCCTCGCCTTGCACTTGCAGTTCACGTCCGCAATTACGCTGGAATCGGCAGAGATCTGCTTGTCCTTCCTCGATTTCTTCTTCGCGACGACGAACTTCCGCTCCCGGAGCTTGTTCCTCGGCGAGTACAGAACTAGGGTTTGACTAGAATTGGGGTTTTTCTGCCCCGACTTGTGGGACTTGCCAGATTTGACAAGAGGAGAGGAGGAATCCAGCGAGGGACTAGAGCGGGAGACGTTCGGATCTGTGTTCTCCGAGACCTTGGCGGTGTCTTGAAGTTTGGACTGAAATCCATGGGGCGGTCGCGATTCCTTCGCCGGAGTGGATGGTTTCCGATTCTTCTTGATGCTCGAATCCATGGGACTGCCGGGAATGTTCCAGAGACGGAGAAAATTCCGATCTCTTTGCTCTCCGAGAAAATTAGGGTTTAGGGTGGGAGATGATTAGATGAGCGAGAAAATGTTTGGGGGAGCGGAAGTAAAGAGTGGTAGAAGAGATGAAGAAGTGGGGAAATTGAACGTTGAGAGCGGCCGTTTATTTGTTTTTAGGATTGACGCTCTCTGTAACGGCTAGTTTTTTTTTACAACTGACAGGCAATGCTTTGAAAGAATCTAGGTGTAGTGGATTGATCTACGGCGGGATCCGATCTATTGTTGGGCTTATGCATTTGAATCAGTCCAGCCCGACTGCAAATGCGAACAAATAATCTAGGTTATAGTGTGGACTACTACTTAAACTGAAAAATACCTATCCTTTTTTTAGTTTTGCAGGGACTCCTCGGGCTGAATAAGTAATGTCACTCGATCATTATCAAATTGATTGCAATCTTTTTCTATTCGTGAGGATCACACCAATTATCTCATTTTCTTTTTTTTTTATCGGAAAAGGGTATAGGACGCCACTATCTTATAACATTAAAACGACCATGAATAGTCATTTCAGTAACGAACATTAGGGGTTGCAAAAGATATAGAATGCACCTCAAATGAGACAGAGAAACCTCTATGAGCCAATCAATTGGCAAAAAATTACCCTCATCTGCAGATGAACTCGATCACAATTAATGGCCACCCTCTGATGTCTAAGTTGTCATGCTAGTTGGAGACCGTTAATGGCCACTCTCAGTTATACACAAGTGATAAAAAAATTCCAAGATTAATGGTAAAAGGCCCCAATAAGCGACCTTGGAAATCTCTACGAGCACCTTCAATTGTTGCATGTTGGATAGATTGTACAAATGAACCATTGGAATTAACTATGACCCCATGGTCCCCAGTTCTAACTAATTTGTAGAGGTGATAGTGTATGTCGATGTTTTGCTTCAGGGCATGATCCTTCGGCTTATCTTATTGGGAGCTTTCGCCATTATTCGGGCCTAATTGTACATATTTTACCCCGTTTTCCTTAGGCGTTTGTGGCAATTGTGCTCCTAAAAGGGTGGTTTTACGCGAGGTTTCTTGTGTTTTAGCATGTTTCAGGATTTAACAGGCGAAACCAGCCTCGGAGTGAAAGTTGGACGAAAAGGAGCGAAAATCGGGAGAAGAGGTGAAAACCCGGCAGTTCACAATTTTCCTTGGAAGTTCACGATCTGCTAAGACCGTGAAGAGGAGCTGTTGCCCGTGAACATCAAGGCGTTCAAGGAAAAATCTGAAGTTACTGACGCTAGGCGAGTTCACGATCACTAAGACCGTGAACTGGAGCTGTTGCCCGTGAACCTGTGCAAGCGAAGCGGTGTGTTTCGACGCCAACCTTGAGTTCACGGACGCGTTCAAGAGTTCACGGCCATGAACTGAGCCCGATCCTTGTTTAAAAGGAGAGCTGAAAGGAAGAGAGAAGGGAGAGCAAAGAGTGTGAAAGAGCCTTCTTCAGATTTTAGAGAGAGAAAGAACGAACCTAGGAAGGAAGAAGGCTAGGGTTTGCTCCAAGTTGTGAATTGGGAAGATTCTCCCCAAGAGAAGTTCAGCTCAAGCTCAAAGGAGATTGGAAGCATCACCATGATGGTTTCTACCTCTTCCTCTTATGTTTCTCCCCTTTCTAGCATGAGTAGTTTCCTCTTTTCACTTGGGTGTTGTGAAACCCTAACTATTTGCCATGTAGTTGTTATGTGAATTGAATGATTGTTTATGAGTGTTGTTTAACTCAATGTTTGAGGTATTTTTCATGTTGATTGTGCATGTATGTGCTTAGCAATCTAATTGGTCATTCTAACCTAGATTAGAGGGGAAACCCCCTTTCAATGGAGGCTCAATTGATTTGGGATTTCTAGGGCTTCTTAAGCCACCTACCTAGGTTAATATAGGGCAAACCTCTATGTTAAATTAAGCAATTTGGTTAAGCACGATTAAGCCGACCAACCATTGGGTTGAGTGAGGGAGTAAGTCAACCATCGATTGCCTTAATCGAGAGGGCCACTTTAATAGCCTATAATGTATCCCTCGGTTCCGCAATCGAGAATGTGGTCTACAACCATATTTGCGTACCCTAGCAGTTCGCGGTCACCTTGCCCATAACAATCACTTCGATTCACATACCATGGTAGTAGTTAGGGGGAAGCGACACTAGAGTGATCTTTCTCACAAAGAGCTTTAAAAACCATTTACTTTTGCCTTGCTTTACTTTAATTAGCAAACTTTGCAACCAAAACCGATTCGCTAGATAATGATTCAAATGACTGAAGTAGGGGTACACGGACCGACCCGAGTCGATATTTAAACATACTTGCCCTGTATTGCACCCGACTAAGGTTTATACTTGGACCTTAGGCGGGAATTAATTGTGATATTCAGGACGAGTCACGCCACCCCTAAGAAGATTTCGTATTTTCAATGGTCCCTCTATTGTTGGGCTTATGCATATAACTCAGCCTAGCCCGACTGCAAATGCCAAGAAAGAATCTAGGTTTAGTGCATACTACATAACTGGAAATCGCTTACGTCGAATTTATCGGGTTAATAGCATAATTGGAAATAGCTAGCATAAAAGATCACTAACATTTGGGGTTTGCATTATGAAAGAGAAGTACTTGAGAGAGAGTTTGGATGGGGTGAAACTTCTACGCAAGATGCAATGTTCACAACTTTGGCGATGGGGTGGTGTCTGAAGATCACCTATTGCCTTCAACAGGGACCATTGATGGAATAATTTGGCTATAAACACACTAACAAAAACGGGTGAGTGAAACATTAACTTGCTATCCCAGGATGGATTTGGGCAGGATGAGATGGTTTGGGTTGGTTCACATTAAAGTCAGCCAACTAGCTTGTCGTTGAGATTGACGGAGAGGAAACTCAACCCATATGGAAAGCAATATGGAAATGGCATGGTCTGAGTTGAGTTTGTCACTTCCTTTAGCTGTCGGCACACGTTTTGCTGCTCACCAACGACGAACTTTGTCAACACCACCTTACTGTGCAAACAATGTGCCTTTGTTGCAAGCTTGAGCTGGAAACACCTAAGAAGCATGTATTTTGCACGTGTTCTTTCACTCGCAGGGTCTGGACCCATTCCCTCCCAAATGATGCCTCCTCTTCCAACAGGGTTCAGAACTATCATCGGAAAGGAATTACTTCTAGAAGTGATGTGAAGATTGAACTAATGAAGGTCTTCGACTCTGTTGACTAGGGTTTCCTCTTTAGTGTTAAAGAAACTATGAACTTTCCTATGCAATTCATCTGTTGGATTAGATATTTTCTGGAGTATATAAGCTTTCGTATCACAGTCCATAGGGGCCTAATTACTTTTCATAAAAAAAATGGTGAGACATGGATATTGAATGTGCAGATGTGATGTAGAATTCTTAACTTGGTATTAATTTTTAGAAATATTAAAGCAACGATATTGTTATGCAAACTGTAAGTGACCAGTTTTTTGAAAGTTTTAGTTTGATTAACTATTAAATCCTATATCTCTTGATAATATGACATAATTGGACAAATAAGTGAGTTTAAAAGAACACAATTTCTGAATATCAATTTTCTAGATGATTTCAATTATTTAAATTTTTTATCTTACAGGGTAATTGATCATATGTATCATTCATAGTTACTTAGTTTAATATGAAATAACCGCAGTACAAGACAAATCATGAAAGTTGAGCTGGAGTTTTAATGGACTCATTGATGTGGTCATGTGCATTAGCAAGGTAGGTACCACAAGATAGGTTTAATTTTTTTTTGAGTGAATAATATTGTCCTTCAACTAAATTTAGAGTATGTTGGTTCACAAATAATTTTTCATTGCATAGAGTATGGATGGAAAATGTTATTTTCTAACTAATTTTTGTTATTGTATTGTGCATAATATAGGTATTGCTATATATCATAGTCCATGAAACCGTACCGGAGACCGTACCGGAAAGGTTAGCGGTAGGGTATTTTATGGTAAAACCGTGATTTAACCGTAGTTCAACCGTTATACCGGTAAATACCGCATATCGGTTTAGCCTCCGATACTGGTATTTCGTGGTTGAACCGCCGGTACGGTACGGTTTAATGGACACTGCTATATATGTATTGTTTCTCAAACAAAAGAAATAAATATTGACTAAAGATTATGATCATGAGTTTTCTATTTATGCTACGCTTTTTTCAGACAAACTCTTTTTGTGTTATGCCAATTTTCTTTTCAACTATAGGCAACTAAGTGACTACATCATTAAATAGACAAGTTATGAATGGTTATTCACGAGTGTTACAACCAAGGTTGTTACACCTCTACCAGACATCTATTTGGACTAGGTCCGACCAAAATCGTGCTCCAAATGGACTCTACAAAACCAAGGGTCTGATCGTTAGAGAGGGAGAAGAAGAGAGAGAGAAGGGGAAGGGGGAGAGAGGAAAGGGGATGGTGGGTGGATCTTGAGATAAGTATATTTTAATAGAATTTGAATTTTTAATAGATATAAGTTAGTACATTTCATTTCAGTCACTAAATTTCTATATTATATATAAATATCTTTAGAAAAGGTGTAAAATTGCTCAAACAAGTTGGACTTCAATTAAACCATTAAACTTTAAACAACTTGTTTGACCGGCTAAACGACTTAAAACGGTTTGACAACTTTGGTTATTACTTATAACCATTAAGATTACAATGTTCATCATTGATGAAAAGTTATAAGAATTTCGAAAATGAAAAAATAATTTCGATGTCACGTTAATGTCATACGAAATTCAACATTTCAAATAATTTAAAGAATTTAAATACATATCTTAAATACGTTGTATTCAAATGACATTTTTTTTTATTTCTGAGTGATATCAATGAGATAAAATAGTTAAACTTACAGTTCTACCCAGGACCCCTTAAAGACACTCTACTGAGGCTACCCCCAAAAAATCAAAAGATTCTAACTCTACAAGAGATAAAAGCAGTGCTTTACGCGCCACTCTATGGGCAGCACTGTTGGCGGACCTAGGTACCGCCCTAAACTCTATACAAATAGACAAAGAGCTAAGGATCTGGAGACACTCTCGTATTCAAATGACATTGCGACCAACGGGTCGGACAACAAGCTAGTAGTATTTTATTTCAAACTTCAGTAAAAAATAGATTATTATCCCCAATTTTTACTAGAAAATTCCAATTAAATTAAATAAAAAACAGTTGTGGGAATTTCCGGATTAGAACAGTAAAACAAAAAATTAAGAATAAGCAGAGTGGTAAACTTTTCTCCTCTTTTTTTTAATGAGGTGGCACTGGCAGTGGCAACAAAGCCAAGGGAAAGAAAGAATATTAGTGAACAGTAACAGTCTGAGAGTCTTTCAGAAAAGAAGTAAAAGAACAAACTGAGAAGAGATGCTCTTATATATATTTGTTTCTGGTAAATGGAGAGAAGGGAATCAAAGATGCTTTATGCAGAACTTTATCTTTACGTGTTTGAAGAAAGAAAAGGAAAGCAAGAGGGAGAGATCTCTAAAAATTTGGTAAAGCTATGCATGTAACGAGAAGAAGATCAGAGATTGAGATGAGCGAGATTCCCTTTGGCGTCTCTTGGAAGAGAAAGGGCGGGAGACAGGAGAAAGAAAAGGTTCGTCTTCCCTTTTGCTTTTCATTGTGCCTCCTCACATTCACTTTAATTCCTCCCTCTGCCTCTGGTTTTGCACTTTCCAAATGAAAGAATTTCCCCAATATTAATACTCTTACTGCTACTACTTCTCTCTGCTTTGGCGCTAGCTTTAAGCTTGTTTTCATTACTTTGCCTCTGAGCCTCTCCCCCCTTTCGAGTTTTCTAGACCTTACTGCCTCTTCTGCCTTCTGGGTTGCGTTCCTGAAGAGTAAAAGGTTGAAGCTTTTCCTGTACTAGTCCCATGCTTTTGTTTTTTTTTTTTTTTTGGTTGCGAGGTGAGGTTAATTGGATATTGTGACTTCTTCGTTCTAGTAGCTGTATCTTTGTGTATTGGGATTCTGAGAAATTTTGGGATTCGGGTTTTTATTACATGGAGATTTGGGTTTTGTAGAGTACGAAGACTTCATTACTAAAAAGGAATTGCATCGTGTGTTGAGAGAGAAGGGAAGAGCGGCGAAAGAGATGGCAGGAGGAGGACCAGCGCCGCCGCCAAAACAGGATGAATTGCAGCCTCATCCAGCCAAGGATCAGCTCCCCAACGTTTCTTACTGCATCACCAGCCCTCCTCCTTGGCGTGAGCATCTCATTCCTTTGCTCCTTCACTGCTTTCATGTCCTTCTGTTATATCAACTTAAATCATACAGTCGAGTGAACTAATAGGTCTTTTATCCTTTACTGAAGATCACTGTAATACCAGTAACTAATAGCACAGGCTTCTTTAGATGATCCACTGCTCAATTTTTTCCTGTATTGATGATCTGACCTTTTGGATGGAGTTCTCTTGAGTATCTGAGGTGGGGTCTAATGATTTGGGTTCATACGCCAAAAAAATTGCAGCCGAGGCAATTCTACTTGGCTTCCAGCACTACTTGGTGATGCTTGGAACAACTGTGCTGATCCCCACCTTACTTGTCCCTCAAATGGGAGGTGGAAACGTAAGCATCAAAGTCTTCTCATTACTGTAGCTGCAAAAAGTGAAATCATGTTTCTGTAATGTGGTTCTCAGTGGTTCGGCTGTATTTTCTTTCCAGGAGGAGAAGGCAAAGATGATTCAAACTTTGCTTTTTGTGGCGGGATTGAACACGTTTTTCCAAACCATGTTCGGAACTCGCCTGCCTGCAGTCGTTGGAGGCTCCTACACTTATCTTCCAACTACCATCTCGATCGTCTTGGCTGGCCGGTACAGTGACATTGTGAACCCTACAGAGGTTGATCAACTAAAACCATTAGTTCCATTTTGCGGGCTCCCTTTGATCGATCTATGGTTTTTGAAAGATTTGACTAACTAGATTGATTCGCTGGCTGATTGGTTGCAGAAATTTGAGAAGATTATGCGTGGAACTCAAGGTGCGCTCATTGTTGCTTCCACACTCCAAATTGTCATTGGCTTCAGTGGCCTATGGCGTAACATTGTAAGGTCAGTTAGTAAGTTTCTCAACAGCCTCCTCCGTCAGTTATTTCTTATTGGAGTGTAGTAAGCACACTTGTCTACATTGCCAGGTTCTTGAGCCCACTGTCTGCTGTCCCTTTGGTTGCTATGTCCGGATTCGGGCTATACGAGTTTGGTTTCCCCCTGGTGAGCATTCAGATCAAGCTTCCCCTATTTGAAGTCTCTTCCCGTGCCTCTTTCTTCCACATTAACATTTGAACTTCGGGGGAGATTTTCAGCTTGCAAAATGTGTGGAGATAGGCCTGCCCCAGGTCATCATTCTGATCATCTTTTCACAGGTATATCTCATACTGCAAATTGCAACGCAAAACGGCCTGGATCTGCAACTCTGCAAAGTATATCCAAATTATCTTCTAATCAATTCATGTCTTTGCAGTATATACCTCACTTGTTAAAGGGGGAGAAATCCATATTTCATCGCTTTGCTGTTATATTCTCTGTGATTATCGTTTGGGTATATGCTCACTTGCTCACCGTGGGTGGAGCATACAAAAATGCTGGCCCTAAAACTCAGCTAAGTTGCAGAACCGACCGAGCTGGCATTATAGGCGCCGCTCCATGGTAATTACGCTCTTTCTTATACTCGCAACTGAAGCATTAAAGTTGATGCTTTTTTTACTATGATGACCCACTTCATTATCTTGTGCTCTAATTTTATGTTGATAGGATAAGAGTTCCATATCCATTCCAGTGGGGAGCTCCCACGTTTGATGCTGGAGAGGCTTTTGCAATGATGATGGCTTCATTTGTTTCACTTGTAGAGGTTTGCTTGCCTCAACCCTTTTTCTCTATAACTCCAAAATCCTGCAGTCATCAGACTCAGGAGAGCAATAAAAGTGTCGTTTGCTTTATGACCAATTATCTTCCTAATCTACTTTTCCATATCGGAACAGTCAACTGGTGCTTTCATTGCTGTGTCGAGGTATGCCAGCGCAACCCCAATGCCACCTTCTATACTCAGCCGTGGTGTTGGTTGGCAGGTAAAGTTAGGTAGCATTTCCAAAACCAATTCATTCCAAGAATTGGAGCTATTAAGCGAGCTTAAAGGTTAATCCTTATATGCTCTTAAAATGAAATCCCCATTGTAAAACTGTCATTTCTGGTCACATCTGAGTGGTATAAGAACCAGGTTATATCTCTACCCACAAGTGAAGTTATTAGAATGTTCAACATGTTCCACTAGTCTCTTACAGTTGTCCCTTTGCTAGTCTTTTCTGATTTCTCCTCACTGTGTTCAGGGCGTTGGAATTCTGTTCTCTGGGATATTTGGAACCGGGAATGGTTGTGCAGTGTCTGTGTAAGTATGAATCCTGCCTAGAGATAACAAGCAACAGAAGCATTCAATATTCTCCTTCCCATCATGTTTCGGAACCTTAACCGGGGTTCAAAAACTGCAGTGAAAATGCCGGATTATTGGCCTTGACAAGAGTTGGCAGCAGGCGGGTGGTGCAGATCTCGGCAGGCTTCATGATTTTCTTCTCCATTCTTGGTAGTCCATCTCTCCTTCTTATCTCCCAATCTTCATCTCTCTTTTCCCCTGTCCTGCACTTGGACATCACCTAATCCGTGTCCTTCCAGGAAAATTTGGAGCTGTTTTTGCATCCATTCCTGCTCCAATTGTTGCCGCTCTGTACTGCCTTTTCTTTGCCTATGTTGGTAAGTCGTTCTGATCAATTTCCTTAAACTCAAAACAGCTTCCCAATGTAATGTTAGTACTGGTGAAAGGAGAATTTTCTAAACTACATGGTTCTGTTGAATGAGCACAGGCTCAGCTGGTCTGGGTTACCTTCAGTTCTGCAACTTAAACAGCTTCAGAGTAAAGTTCATCCTGGGCTTCTCCATCTTCATGGGCCTATCCATCCCACAGTACTTCAATGAATACACAGCAATCAACGGCTATGGCCCGGTCCACACCGGGGCCAGATGGGTACGTTAAATTTTCACTTAGCTCAAGCTTCTGTTTGTTTGCTCTTAAAAGATCAAGGTTAGGGTGATAGTAGCTCAGATTTGTTGCTAGCACATATGCTTGAGTGTTTGATGCATGGGGGTTGTGGATGGTTTAATTTCGTGCAGTTCAACGACATGATCAACGTGCCATTCTCGTCGGAAGCGTTTGTAGCTGGGATACTGGCCATGTTCTTGGACGTGACGATGCACAAGAAGGAGAATGCGATCAGGAAAGACAGGGGAATGCACTGGTTGGACAAGTTCAGGTCGTTTAAGACCGACACCAGGAGCGAAGAGTTCTACTCTTTGCCCTTCAACCTCAACAAGTTCTTCCCATCAGTTTGATTTTCATCACACTCTTTTCCCAGAGGCGTTAGTTGGTTTTCCCCGTTTTCTACCACGAGGTTATGGTTCGTGACTAATTAGTTGTGCCATTGCCAGCTCTGCTCCTCAGTCTCCAGGTTTACATATTGAGCTTTAGTACTCTCTCATTTGACTAGGTTGTCTTTTTCCCTTTGTTCTTTTTCTGGGTTCTAGTGGAAATATGTAAAATGTAACATATGTATTCGTTCTCTTTGTTTTGTAAGAGGTAGTTGACATATCACAATCCATCTCTAACCGACTCCAATCTTGCACTTCTTTAAATGAAGACTCAAGTGAACTTTTATATGAAGAAAGTAAAGCTAATTATTCTAATTCACAACATGAAGAACTGATTGTCACAATCAAAGTTTGGTTTGGGCCAAATGCCTACAAGTATATTATGTCAAAGGTGCCTTAAAGGTCTTTGGATGAGGCCATTTGTCCTAATGGCATCAAAATGAAGCAATTTGGTCAAACGACCTTGTTTGATAATATAAAATGGGGATGCAGTAATTGGGTCGATGTAAATGTAGTTTGAATTGTCTCGTATCAATTTGAATTGAAGGGCTTAGGGTAAGTATTGTGAAATGAAGCAATTTCGAGACAATTGGACCTTATTTTAGAAATCCATCCTCTAAACGACTTTACAAAAACGCGTAGCTTAAGAACTTGATTGTTGTGTTGCATCAGCTTACTAAAGTAGGGTGTTACAATTTTCTCTTGTTCAAGGTATACGAACGTGTTTGACTACAAGTTGACTGAACTGAGATTCTGACTAAGAGGTCTAGAATTTAAAGGCATAGACTTACGAGTTACATGCCTAAACATCATAAACCGCATTGGGATGTGATTGACAAAGAACTATCTAACTTGATAAATCATAAGGAGGCTAAGTTTAGCTCAAGTGAGCTAAACTCTAGTCACTCGACTCAGACTAGCTGGAGCTTAGATTAATCTAGCTCAACGTGTTTTCTTAGTAGCTCAATGTACTTGAACTTAGCTAAGAGCGGCTAGAAACTTGTGACACTAACAGGAAGTGACAAAAAATTCTTGAGTGATGTCACACAACTGAATTCGAATTGAGTTGTTAGTCAATAACTATGACCCAAGTGTGTTCACATAGATGAGTTGGATCTCTTTTTTGTTAGCTTAATCAAAGTTGGGTCTCCTCTTTTTTTTTTTTTTTTTACCCACATCAAACTTCCCTCTCTAAGCACGAGAAGCTTAGCATTGTGTGTCCAAACTACTCATACGAAACCATCTATCGAGAAGGAAAGACAAAAAAAGGTTTCAAGACAATGAACTCCTTGTTTTTTACCCACATCAAACTGCCATCTTTTAAGCATGGAAAACTTGGCCTTCTACGTCAAAGGTGTCCACACAAAAAATTGTATCTCAGATAGCATGTATTAGTTTATGCTATAGTTAGGATTTTAACATGGAATCCCTTTATTATTAGTTTTGGCATCATCCATTAAGTCACAATTATTTAACTGATACACCCATACGTTTTATTGCATATATATAAATAGTTTACCGTTCACAAATAATAAGTAAATTAAATTAAAAAAATCATAATTGTATCCTTATTCAAGCATAATAGTTTACCCTCTAACACTCATTACTACCCATTTTTACCTAATCTGTTTTAACTCAAGTTCCAAAAGAATTTGTACATAAAAATGAGTTCATTATCATAAACAAAATTATTTAAATTATTGATATATTTTGAGAAATTGTTTGGGGAACAATTAAACCACTTTTTATCACCCTCTAGCATAGTGGCAGATAATTAATCCTCGTCAACTAATTTTTCATTTTCTGCTATATATTGAAGCATATAATTTTCTAAAAAAAGTACATAGCTCAGCTACAATAATTATTGTAAGAATAATTTTTAAATGAATAATTATTGTAAGATCATAGTGAATTCCAATATTTCAACTGAGATTTATAGTCAAGTTAGAGTTCATTGTCCTGATAGTATCAAGACTCTTTGTTCTGTTCACCTGTCTCTTTTTTATACAAAAATTATTGAGTTTCTTCTTATAAAAATATTATTATAAAATTCATCAGAATTTATTTTATAAAAAAGTATTATAAAATTCATCAGAATTTATTTGATCAAATGATTGTCTATTCGAATATTTGTCACTCAATATTTGAGATGTGGAGTGTGGACCTTTGCAATCGTACCAAAAGTGTCCAAACCATACACAGCAAAGGAAGTTTTACACGTTCGGGACATGATCTGATGCAGCGATCTGCAGGTTTTTGTACTGTACAACAAGAACTTAGAACTCGACCAACATTTGAACTGAACTAAAATTCTGTCTATTTTGTGTTCCTTTCCCACACTCTGTCCATTAAATAGTGGGAATGGATACTTTTGCCTTTGTATTTTGGACGAGACGCGAAGAATGTAGAGAAAGCAAACTCCTATAATTGGAAGAAAACAACAAAAGAACCTTTGAATAAACAATTAAATCCCTCCTACACTCTCTTCCCATTGTTAGCTGAAGGGGGTTTATGTGCAAACTTTTTAATTAGGAGAATCATTACAATGTTTACTAGACAAGGCACAAGTTACCAACCCTAACCTAATTGAATTGTTGGTGTCCCACAAAACGTTGTCCAATTATTGCAACTATAGGGAAAGTGTGCTCGTTTGAGTGAGGTCATTCGACACAAACCAATATGGCTGAAATATATTTTGGAGTTTGTCTAGTATTCATACTATTTATTATTGAATTAAAAGATGTTGTTTTTGTACTCTTGCTTCTTTTTTAAATGCATAGGGTACGTAAGTTTGTGCTTATACTTAGTGGCAAAGCCACTACTTTATTATTGAGGAGGGTTGAAAATAAAAAGCGGCAATAACTTCTCATGATTGAACCTAAATTTTGGATGAGGTCATGAGGGGTAGGATTTTCATCCTACCACTTTCTAATACTTACTTATGATATAAATGCACACACTAGAACCTTAAATCAAAATTGTATGCTTTAAAAAGGTTTTGTGAAGAAATCCTGATTAATATATTTGTTTGAATTCGAAATAAGACCGTCTTATCATGTTTTGAGACACATTTTTTAGGTGCTATTAAGTGTAATGAATTGAATAATTCTCACAACGTACAAGGTTGTATTATTGTGAACTGTACACTTGATATATTTTAGTTATATGAATACTCTTGAGCATGTTGTATGACTACATGTATTAACTTGCCGATACATCAATTGCCGTCCAAATCAATTTCGTTTGTCCATTGATTGGCACCAATTTAAGAGAAAAGTAGTAGGGAGTTTGGTGGAAGTTCGATCCTCAAAGAGCTGAGGCCGCTCACACTTTCATTTCTATACCAACTATGTAAACAATTAGCAGAATGGATTACAAAACCATGTTACTTGACACTCACCCATTCACCACTTTAAACATTAAACAATGTTCTTAATGGCTAATATAAAACAACACAACATAACTAATGGTTCGTAACTTTGCAAAACAAAACGCTCCATGTTCTAAGCTATTTAGTTGAAATGCTTTATATGTCTAAATCCTTCCACAATTTGGATTGATAGAATTGTTAGCCTCCCGTAAGTTGTGGCAGTCACTCTGACTCCCAATTTGATTAACAATTCCTTCAACCGAGCCTTGTCAAGTCTCTTCATAAACAAATATGCACCAATTGATTCATTGTACTCACATGATGAAGCTTTATCAAACCTATCTTGATCCTTTCTCTAGTAGCATGCATATTGATTTTGATATGCTTTGTTCTTTCATGTGAAACAGGGTTCTCTGCTATATGAATAGATGATCTGTTATCACAATACACGAAGATTGGTAATGGAACCTGTAAATTCAATTATGCCAGTAATCCTTTTACCAACTTCACACACTAATAGAGCCAAATCAATGTACTCTGCCTCTGAAGATCATCTTGGGATTGTGGTACGTTCTTCGTGTTCCATGTAAGAAACTAGCTTTCTAGAAAGGTATAGTATCTAGTTATTGATATACTAGTATATGGGCGACTTGCCTAGTCATATTCATAAAAACCAACCAATTTAATGTGTGCTCTAATGCTTAAGTATATACCTTGTACTAGAATATTCTTCAAGTATCTTAGAACTCTGTATGTTGCTTGAAAGTGATCATTTTAGGTTTCTTCTAAAATTCACAGTTGATGAACAACGAAGGTAAATTTTGGTCTAGTGATGGTGACATAGTGAAGTCTCCCAATAAATCTTCTTTAAGCTCATAAATACATACTATCTCCTCTCCATACGAGTCCGTGAAGAGGCGAGGTGTTTGGGGAGTGAAAGGTAGTGAAAGATGATCTAGATGCTATAAGACTATCTGAACTCCAAACACATCCTCAAATGGAACTCCAGACCGAGAGAAATGCACTTCGACGACTTAACTCAAACACTATGCATGGTTGCCTCTCACGCGAGAACCTCATTTTTCAAAAAACAAAACAAATTGAAGCACCCTTTGCAAATTGTTTTGGAGTCCAACATTGGGGATTCCCACACACATGTCCTAAACTCCCTAACAAACACTTTCACACAATCAAGAAGAAATCAAAGTAAATCCACCCAGTATCAAGAAATTTCGTTGCACCCCACCATTCCCTATAATACACACCATCATCATCGCCAAAAAAATTAAAGCACACCGAACAAGATCATGCTTGATAGTTAGGACAAATGTTTTTGGACCCCCTAAGATTTTAAAAGTTTGAGCATGAAATCCAGGTTCCAAAACACACAAAATGTAGGACATAGTTAATTCATTCACACACATGTGCTTGGAGCCCTCAAATTTTTGAAATTCGGGCATTCATTAAGTGTCCAAAGCATTCATGGAACATTCCAAACACTACTTCACACCACTCATTCATACACACACATACAAGCACTTTAGCACGACACATTCCTTAATGGAGGAAAGATAAGGAGAGTAGAATGAAGTTACCGGATTATATGTGAAAAATGGCTGAGGGACGATGAGGATGATGGGATGTGAAGGAGCAAGGCAACATACAAACACCACAAGCTCCCCAAAGGCCCATGGGCAAGGAGATGTTAACACCAGTCTGCAACATATACCTTAGTGTGTTCATTTAAGGTGTAACCCAAGTGTTGAATTACTTACAGAGCTAGTATCATTGCTATAATTTTTCGTCAGTCTGTGTCTCACTTAACCTTCCTTGAGACACAGATCCAACAAAATTTAGATTTCCTCCTTGCACACTACTTTCCTTCTCTTTCTCCTTGTTCTTCTTCTTAAGCCTCTAACATTCCTCTAGGTAGTGATTTGTTCATTTGCAAAACATGCATAATTTCTTCCCTTGAGTTTGTTC